AACCATAAGATACCTAGGAATAAATCTAACCAAAGAGGCAAAGGATCTGTACTCAGAAAACTATAAAATACTCATGAAAGAAATTGAGGAAGACACAAAGAAATGGAAAAACGTTCTATGCTCATGAATTGGAAGAACAAATATTGTGAAGATGTCAATGCTACCTAGAGCAATCTACACATTCAATGCAATCCCCATCAAAATACCATCCACTTTTTTCAAAGAAATGGAACAAATAATCCTAAAATTTGTATGGAATCAGAAAAGACCCCAAATTGCCAGGGAAATGTTGAAAAAGAAAAGCAAAGCTGGTGGCATCACAAATCCGGACTTCCAGCTCTATTACAAAGCTGTCATCATCAAGACAGTATGGTACTGGCACAAAAACAGACACATAGACCAATGGAACAGAATAGAGAGCCCAGAAATGGACCCTCAAGTCTACGGTCAACTAATCTTCGACAAAGCAGGAAAGAATGCCCAATGGAAAAAAGACAGTCTCTTCAACAAATGGTGTTGGGAAAATTGGGACAGCCACTAACTACTTTTTAAAAGAGGTATAAGAGTGCTAAGTCAATAGACATAAAATGGAATCAAAAATATGCTCAATTAACTAAAGAGGAGGGGAAAAAAGAGGAAAAATAAAATACATTTCCTTACTTCTGAAAGCACGTTGATGTTTTATGCAATGTTGACCTGTTCCTGTCTGTGGATCGCCTCCCAATGAGCCTTCTGACATGCATATTCAGGTCTTTTATCAACTCAGGAAGTTCTTCCTACAATTGTTTATTGTTACTTCTTTTCCAATTGTTCATCCTTAGAAACACCTATAATTCCTAGTTTGGACCGCTGGTCTTTTACTATTTCATCAATTTGTCGCTCTGCATTCTGAGAAACTCCTCAAGTAAGTCTCTACATCACTGACCCATTATTCCTAATGGAAAATAGCCATTCGTCATCTTCAGTGTGGATTTTAACTCTTATTTTACACATTTTCTCTAGCATTTAATGTTAAATCTGTTTTCTCCTGTGGCTTTCTATTACTTTTCTAGAAGCCATTTCTCCTTATAGTCTATCATTTTGTTGTTGTTTGCTGCTTGCCTGTTCTTCTTCCTCTGGCCAAGTGTCTCCAGATGTCTGCTCCCTTTCTGGGTCCTCAGAATAATATTCTTTCATTTGCCAAGTAATACATTTCACAGCACTACATTCATCACTCCTGGTCTACTCCTCCTTCAAAGGTCCAGACTCTGTGGTTGCCAACAAGCTGGGTCCAGCGGGACCTTCTCCTTCTAGACGCTGGGGTAAGAGCTGTGCACATCTCCAGCCCTAAACAGACTCTTTCTAGTGCAGACCCACAACTCAGATGGGGCCTCCTCTTCTGTTCCTTAATGTCTCTTAGACACTCTAAACAAGCTATTCAAAGAGCAAAACCGCCTAAAACTGGCTCCTCCAATAAGGACTGCCGGCAGGACCCTTCTAGTCCCCACGTCCTCAAAGATAATTTTGGCAAAATTATATTTTGGCACTTATCTCCCTCTTGTTATTTCCTGGTGTTGGGGTCTCGATGTGAATGGGAGGAAGGAGGTGCTGGTGGTGGGCATGGGGGAGCTTTGTCTGGAAGCAGAGAGCAGCATCCCCTGAAGGGAGAAGCAGCTCTCCCAGAGGACTGGGGAGGGGGGATCTGCAGGCCAAGAGTCTTGTGTCCAAGACACAGGCTCCAGTAGGAGGACCTCAATCCTTAGGTGTCACTGGCACTTTTCAGCGGAGTCCAGTGATCTCACACCTAGAAGTTCTCCTAATCAGCGGGCCAGTTTTTGGTGGCCATGCTTTTTCCCTTCTGTGTCCTGAGCCTCTGTTAGGATTTAGAAGAGCCAGTATGGCTGCTAACTGGATGCCATCTTATTCTGGAGGTCTCTGGAGGTCACTCGTTATTACTAGAGTAGTTAGACTCCTCTCAATTCCAGTTTAGGTCAAATTTCACAAATAAGGACTTGGGGGGATGGTAGATGAGGGGCCAGGGGGATTAGCCTGTTTCCAGAATTAAAAGCTCCACTACCAGTCATGAACTACGGCATTCCGGTAGGACTCTGCTCTGTATTACAGCCACACTGCCAACTCACTCAATTGCTTCTTTCACCACTGGCTGAGCACCTACTGTGTGTGAGGCAGGCACACAGCCCTCGGAGACAATGGTGAGAAAGAGACACATCTCTGTCCACAGAGCTCCTGGTCCAGTGAAGGAGACAGAGCACATCGACTGAAAAAGTCAGACACATACACGTTTACACACAGGGGCCAAATGCTCTGGAATGTCCCTTGTTACCTTCTGGGTAAAAGATGCTCTCATCCTGCCGTGAGATCTTCCTGTGGCTAAGTGGGAGCTCCGTGTGGCCAGAGAGACTGAAGCCCCACCTGGCCCCTCGCTGACCATCCCCACCCCTCACTGTGCCAGGGGGCCCTCCTGGGCTTTCTTGGATCTCACCCCAAAATTCTGTTATAACTGAGTACAAAATTCAAGAGCATTTATTTACTTGGGTTATTTTTATACAGACATTGTTAAATACTAAAGCATAATGTAAAATGTGCCTAACATTCAAATAATGCCAAAAGAAGCCCAAGAAAAGTTTTAAGAAAACACAGTTGGCGGAGGTCATTTCAATGACATAACTCCATTTAATTTATACCTGAGTATGTCCTTTTCTGCAGGACTAAGAAAATTGTTCATTAAAGTACATTTTCATGGTAGACTGTTTAAAATATAAATGTGCTAATATTTTAAAGCTATTCTAAAAATAAGTAAAAATATTCTCAAAGAACATAATCAACATGACTATTTCCTCTCAAGCTCAGCATACACTAAAAGGTTTGTTGTTTCCATTCAAAAAATAGTGATTTATTCACTGGGAACACTGAGGTGACATTCTTGTAAAGTAAGTTACATACAGAATACACGTCCTCTATCAATGTACATGCACACGGATACAACTGTCTTTCCCGTGTGGGTCATCATTCTGCCCTGCCCCCGTCCCCAAGGCCACACCCCGCTATCTTGCAGCCCCCCTTCTACAGGGCTTCCTGCAAGAGTAGCCGCAGCTTCCTCAGCTCGTCTCCCACGGGGGCTGCCCACGCCCTCTTCAGGTACTGGACGTCCACGCTGCCAGAGGTTCTGGCCAGCACCAGGGCCAGGAAGCTGCCACTGGCCTTCTCTGCTTCACCCACGACTGTCATGGCCACCAGCCTGAAAGTAAGAAGCACATGCTGTGTGATCTTGAGTCTCCCAAATTATCTATCTTCCAAGGAAGGAGTAAAAAGCAAAGGAAATTCTAAAAATTTCAGTAATAGTCAAAAGAAAGGTTGGGCCAGAAATAAAGATACAAAAATCTATGGAAACCGCTTAGAAAATGTATTTCTGCATTTTTGCAGACTGACTGCTTGCGAGGGTCACAGATCATGATGGAGGACGTGCTGCCTGAAGACACCTGGGCTGGAATGCCCTGAGCACTAGACCCTCCCATCCAGCTTTGCTCCTTCTGGTGAACGGGGATGCCAGTGGCCCTGAGGTGCCCAGCAAGAAACCCAGAGCCGGCCCAACAGCCCTGACATTGCCTCTCCCGTCCCTTCACTGACCAGTTTCTCTGACTGGGTCCTGTCTCTAACCTTTCCCCTCACAGGCTGCTGACAGACACTCAGCAACCTGCATCCCACGTCTCCTCGAGGCCCGCTGGCTGCTCAGGGCCACCCAGATCCCAGTTCCCACACAGCACCGGCAGTACCGGCCTCTTGGGACTCTCGCTCCTCCCGTCTTCCTCTGTTCACTTCCACTTACCTGTGAGACCTGACTCAGCGGCATCACCTCCAGAGGTCTCCCCTGGCCCCCGACTAGACCCCTTGACTATGCCTGATTTGGTCAGGGGTCCCCAGCATCTTCGAAATGCCTCTGGCCTACATTCATCCCACCTTTACTCACCAAGAAGGCTGAGACCATGCCCACCTCATACCGACCTCAATGCTCCCGCCCCTCCTGTCTCCTCATAATGACCAGGGCCGCCAGCACCAGCACCCACAGGGGCCTTGATTCCGTGGGATCCACGACTGGCACAGCACGGGAGCAGTGAGCCCCTCCAGGGGGTTGCCAGCAGCGCAGGCAGCAGAGAATCCCCACTGTGGCCCCACGGGGGCTGAGGGCCCACTGATACTCCTAAGTTTGTCCCCACAATCCAAACACTCCCCCGACCCCAGGCCCCTGTGATGTAAGCACAGCACACCCTGATAGGGACCTGACTTAGCCCCTCTGAGGCCAGTCAGTCTACACCCACCCACAGGCCACACTCTGGAGAGCCACAACACAATTTGTGGCAGGTGAGCAAACCACGAAAAATTACAATCATTGAGGGAGACAAACCATGAAAGACTCTTAACTCCAGGGAACAAACTAAGCGCTGCTGGAGGGAGGGGGGTGGGGGGTGGGGTAGCTGGGGGATGGGCAGTAAGGACGGCAGGTGATGTAGTGAGCACTGGGTGTTGTACGCAACTGATGAGTCACTGACCTCTACCTCTGGAACTAACACGACACCATATGTTAACTAACTTGAATCGTCACTTAGTACTACTTAGTGCTTCAACACTGCTGTTCAACTACTAGTGTAAAACACAGGTCAAGTTTAACTGCCACAAACTTGGAAACATGAGCAGAGGGTGACAAACATGAAGGCTTCCGCTGCGTAGCAACCGCGATACTAGGGTGCACCACACGGCGTGCTCCACGGGGCACCGCTAAGCTGGGTCTACGTGAAAACAGATGTCAAAGCACCAGTGTGGACTCTTGACGGTTCAGGTAAAATGCCCTTGGGATTTGAGAGCCAGACAGAATCTAAGCCAAGGGCAGAGAAAAGGCACAGTCCGGGCTCGCAGGCTGCTACCACCCCCCTGCACTGGCCCAGAGCCGTGCCTGCCCCCCACACACTCACCACCCGGCGTGCTTCTGCTCCCAGACCATGAGCACGCATCCTACTTATCACCCTAAATTCACCCTAAATGTGGTAAATTCTTCCTTCTACCTAAACTTGTGCCTTTTAGACTCTGTCAGTTGCTTGTTCTGTTCTTCTCTGCAGCTGAAGAAACACAGCCCTTTCTAGGAATACAACTTCTTTAACGGACACTGCCGCTAACCAGACAGGAGGCGTCTAAGATGGAATGCTCCACATCATTCTGGGCTCTGCCTCAGGAGCTCCCCTGCTCTGTGCGGCTTCAGCTCGCTGCCCTCTGCCGAGATCCAGACACGCTGGCCGGTCCCCACTGCCACCGAGGGCATGAGGGGGGGAGAGACCCCTGTCTCTACCCCAGGAGACCCCAAACCTCCCCTCTTCTTGGTAAGACCTTCCTTCCCTGCCCCACTGAAAATCCACACTGGATCCCTCCCTGTTTATCTCTCCCATCACAAGTTGTGGAACTTCCTAGTTTATTTTGTTTACTACCCATCTTGCCCCATCAGGATGTGAGCCTACCAGCTGGTTCACCGCTGTACCCCGGGGCCTGCACTGGGGCCCGGCGCACAGTAGGTACTCGGGAAACACTTGTTTTATTAAATAACAGACAAACTTTGGGATATAAACTGTGTGTACATTCTGTTTATAAGTGAATCACAGTCTGGATTTCAATGATGTATTTTTTAATAATTAGAATAATGTAAGTGGGTCCATTTCTGGAGACTCTACTCTGTTCCATTGATCTATGTGTCTGTTTTTGTGCCAGTACCATACTGTCTTGGTGATTACAGCTTTATAATAGAGCTGGAAGTCCGGAATTGTGATGCCACCAGCTTTTTCTTTTTCAACATTTCCCTGGCAATTTGGGGTCTTTTCTGATTCCATACAAATTTTAGGATTGTTTCTTCCAGCTCCGTGAACAATGTCAACGGTATTTTGATAGGGATGGTGTTGAACGTGTAAATTACTCCGGGCAGCATTGACATTTTAATGATGTTTATTTTTCCAATCCATGAGCACGGGATGTTTTTCCATCTTTTTTGTGTCTTCCTCCTCCATTTCTTTCATAAGTGTTCTGTAGTTTCTAGAGTATAGATCCTTTACCTCTTTGGTTAGGTCTACTCCTAGGTATCTTATGGTTTTTGGTGCTATTATAAATGGAATCGATTCCCTAATTTCTCTTTCTACAGTTACACTGTTAGTGTATAGAAAAGTAACTGATTTCTTTGCATTGATTTTGTATCCTGCCACATTACTGAATTGCTGTATGATGTGGTTCATATGTACAAGAGAATACTACTCAGCCATCAGAAAGGATGAATACCCACCATTTGCATCGACATGGATGGAACTGGAGGAGATTATGCTAAGTGAAATAAGTCAAGCAGAGAAAGACAATTATCATATGGTTTCACTCATCTGTGGAACATAAGGAATAGCATGGAGGACATCAGGAGAAGAAAGGGAAAAATGAAGGGGGAGAAATCGGAGGGGGAGACAAACCATGAAAGACTATGGACTCTGAGAAACAAACTGAGGGTTTTAGAGGGGAGCGGGGTGGGAGGATGCGTTAGCCTGGTGATGGGTATTAAGGAGGGCACATACTGCCTGGAGCACTGGGTGTTATACGCAAACAATAAATCATGGAACATTACATCAAAAAACTAATGATGTAATGTATGGTGATTAACATAATATAATAAAAAAAAGAATAATGTAAGTGTACCTACTACTTGCACTAAATACACGAAGGTCTTAATTTTTCAGGTCTTTTTTTTTCTTTTTAGAAAGAGAGAGAGGTAGCGAGAGAGCGCACAAGCAGGGGAACGTCAGGTAGAGGGAGAGGGGGAAGCAGGTTTCCCGCTGAGCAGGGAGCCCGATGTGGGGCTCGATCCCAGCTCCCCGGAATCATGACCTGAGCCGAAGGCAGACACCCAGCCGCCTGAGCCCGCCGGGTGCCCCTTTTCAGGTCTTGCTGGTGTGTCCTTAACGTTCTGCCAAACCGTACCCTGGTTTTGATTACCACTTGCCCTTCTTTTTCCTCTACAAAGGGACATGGGTGACAGCTGGGTGGCCCCGTCCTCCACAGGTCATGGGAGCTTTCATTTCACAGCAGGAGAATGTACTGACAAAAAATAGAAAATCTCAAGAAAGAAAACAGTATCGAGACAAAGCGGGGTCAAGAGAGAGTCCTTCACAGTGAAAACTTGATATGTATTTCAACTGTCGATTAAACAAAACAACAAAAACGGGATTATTTAAAGCACATCAATAACTACTCGCATGAATGGGTTTCACCTTACTCAGTGCAGAGGCACATGGGGCTGGTTTGAATGGGACATCAGTTTAGGGCAGAGAAATGACACTGATGTGAAATTATGTGAATTACTGATTCCCATGTAGTATCCCTTTTTGGAAACGAGAAGGAAGACTGTATATCGCTCAGACAAATACTGAATTTAAAAGACGAATAAATGGGATGCCTCGGTGGCTCAGTCACTAAGTGTCTGCCTTCTGCTCAGGTCACAATCTTGGGGTCCTGGGATCAAGTCCCATGTCGGGCTCCCAGCTCCTTGGGGAGCCTGCTTCTCCCTCTGCCTCTGCCTCTCTCTCTCATGAATAAATAGATAAAATCTTTAAAACATTAATTTTTTTTTTTTTTTTTTAGATTTTATTTATTTATTTGACAGAGAGAGACACAGCAACAGAGGGAACACAAGCAGGGGGAGCAGGAAAGAGAGAAGCAGGCTTCCCCCCGAGCAGGGAGCCTGATGTAGGGCTCGATCCCAGGACCCCGGGATCATGTCCTGAGCTGAAGGCAGACACTTAACGACTGAGCCACCCAGGCATCCCCCCAAAAAAATTTTTTAATTAAAAAAATAAAAGACTAATAAATGAATGCAACTAAGGAGCTCACAAAAAGCTTTTTTTATTTATAGAATGATAATCATGGTGGGGGGCAGCACCTGGGTGGCTCAGTCATTAAGCATCTGCCTTCAGCTCAGGTCATGATCCCAGGGTCCCGGGATCGAGCCCCACATAGGGCTCCCTGCTCAGTGGGGAGCCTGCTTCTCCCTCTCCCTCTGCCCTCCCCCTGCTTCTGCTCTCTCTCTCTCACTCACTCTATCTCAAATAAATGAAAAAATAAATAAAAAGGATGATAATCATGGGAAAATAGTACAGTGTGAATTCTTTAATCCACAGACTATTCTGGCCTAAATATGAAATAACATATTCTAAAGTGGTTTTCAACATATTACTTAAATATGTAAATATAAAAGTATTTAAATTTAAACATAAATAACCGCAGTTTAAAGTGTAGCAACCTTACCCATAAATCACCAAGGATGCTTCTGAGACCTGCCCGTGAGGGCACATCATCAGACTCACCTGTCTGGGGAGATGAGCTGTTTGGCTACAGGACCCAGATCACTTTCCAGCAGATCCCAGATATAAATACAGGACGTGTCATCCTGGGCCAGAAACATGGCAGGTCTGGTCAAGGACCAGTGGAGGCCTGTGACCGCGTGGCCGTTGGTGCTGCCGTCCCACTGAAGGAGAGGGCACTCGGACGTCAGCTGGTGTAACCTGATGCTTCCATCTGAACAGCCGGCCTGGGGACAGGGGTGGACATTGTTGGTCTCGTTCTTTCTTCTTTTTCACTCAGTCTCAGCAATGAGGGACACTCTTCAGAGCACTAGGTCTGTCCTCACAAATTACAAAGGTGAGCATTCGCCCTGGAGATCCTGATACACTTTGAACCCCCTTCCCCTTCCCCAAACGGCCAATAATGAATTCAGTGAATATATAAACAGGTGTTTATCTTTAACAAAGTTGAATATTGCTAATTCAACCATAGGCTGCTAAGATTGGCTCCAGAGAAATCAATAACCCACCTTTTTAAAAAGATTACATAAATGTGAACCAATAATACGGTTATATATTCCCCTTGGATTGAAATTTTTATAAAACAAAACTTGGCTGGTTAAGTAAAAGCCCAAATTTTTAGCTTCGAGAAGCTTAACTCCTTTTTAACGCAATATATTTAATCCTTCACATCCTTCCTCGAAAAGAGCAGAGGCATGAGTTAGCAACCACAAAATGCTCTGCGCACTCTAGGATTGAGCACGTAAGTGTACATCGCAGGTAAGGATTGAGCACGTAAGTGTACATCGCGGGTAAGAGAAGCCAGGTCTCCCCCTGCCGGGTGGGTGGAAGGAACCAGGGTTGCCCTGGCATTAAGGATGTGAGTGAGCACCAGCTTTATGATAAGCAGACAGAGATCAAAGCAGGTATCGATGCTGTGTCCTGCCCAGTGAGCACTTCTTGCTGCCCAGATCTTGGTTTCTCAGTACTTTTCTCCTGACTGGAGCCAGGACTCCTTGGAGAAATGGCTGATTCCGGAGTTTGCTGTACCAGAAAGCAAAGATGAGAAAACACAAGAGCCAGCCTGAAGGGTGTCCCCAGGACAGTCTGAGCAGCAGAGGACGTGACCCAACGAGGAGAGTCAACAGTCAACAGCCATGTGTCCACCTGACGTCCTAAATACACACATGCGTGCCTGCCCACGAGAGAAGGGAAAGCCTTCCTACCAGCGCACAGCCAACCAGTAACGTAAAACTAAGGGCAGGACTAGGAAATCACCATTTGCTTATCACCCCAATAACGGATGCGGGCAAGCCATGCCAATGGATGCCCGGACTGAGTGACCGGTGGGGGGAGCTGGGAGCTGCGTGTGGGGCACCAACCGAGTGATCAGCCGGGGAAGCTGGGAGCTGCACGTGGGGCACCGACCGAGTGACCATTTCTCTCTCCACAGACACATGGGAATCAGACAGGGAAAGGAGTGACTCCACTGGCAGATGTGGGTCAGAGCAAACCTGAATCTAATCATGAGGAAACATCACACAGAATCAAACTGAGGAGCCTCCTAAGCCCCTCAGAATGTCTGAGGAACTGTCCCAGAACTGAATGAGATTCGTGACCTCGGGTGTTATTTTGCGTATAAACCAGGCCGTCATTGATCAGACCCGCACGTTGGATGCCAGGGCTGTTCCAGTGCTAACTTCCTACTGGTCAAGGCTGGACTGCAGCTGCAGGAGTATGACCCTATTTTTAGGAAACCAACACCAAACTATTTAGGGATAAAATATCATTTCTGCAACTTCCTGTCAGACAGTAAAGCATGGACACCCACACACAGACTCGGGGAGAGGGTGGAGCCACGGAAAAAAGGATGTGACGTGACGGGCAGGTTCTTGTAACTTTCCCATAAACCCAAATTACGTGAAGATAAAGACTTTTCAGACCCATTCCACAGCCACGTGGAATGCTCTGCACAGGCTACACAGAGGGGACCTTCCCCCCCATGCAGTCCACTGGCACCAACGTGCGCTGGTGAGTGATCAACTTTAAAGAAATCCCCAGAGATCACTGCTAGTGTTTTGCTGCCCAAACAGAAACGGTGCTTTAACAACAGACTTTCTTACCAAGAATATTGGTTCTCCAAATGGTGAAAAATCAATCACATTCACTTGGACTGGTCTCATACCAGGTTGCTGGGGTTTGTACAATTTGGGAGATACTCTCAAATCTTGTCTGGTGCCATGACTTATAAGACCCTGGTAATGAGAAGACCAATGGTGATAAAAAGGATTAGGCATGAGGTTGGATAAAAGCAGTTATTCTTGAAACAACTACACAGCATCATAATAAAAGCAAATAATAAGTTAATCTTTAATGAAGATTTGCCAAACAACCAAGAAAGGAGAATGAGTTACAGAATGAGATTTAAACTCTTACTTACCATGTCTGTGCCAACAATGAAATGACTAGGGTCTGAAGGCAGAAACTTCACATTCAGCGTTCGTGTGGCCCCCCAGAATTCACAGCCTTTATGGGAAAGGCTGGAAAGAAACAGCAAAATGAGCAGATGAACTGTTTGGCGCCAGAGGGCTGACAGCACTTCAACACCTTTACCCCCCGCCGGGTGTCCCCGGACACGGAGCTGCTGGTCTCACCTTTCCTCTGTGGCTCTTTGCTGCTCTTTTCCCATATTCCTTTTTCTGCTCCCTAAGCTCTAGACATGCCTCCAGCTCTGGTCTCCTGTCCACTAATTCTTTCTTTAGCTACGTCTAATCTACTTAACCATTCACGTACTTTAAATTTCAGAGACAATTTCTTTCTAGAAATGTCTTGTAGATTGTCCCATTATCCCAAGTTCTTGTTGTGCTGAGCCCATTCATTGTGCCGTGGTAAATGTTTCTTCAGGCTTGCAGTTTTTATAATTTTTCTTTCTGAACTACTTCTTCTAAGAGCCCTGGGAGCATATCTCATGGGAGCATCTCCCACATAGGAGTGCTGACAATACTGACTTCATCTTGTGCGTGTCCTCTCTCGGGGCTACGTGTTCTAGGCCCCTTGGAGAGTAATATACACACCTTAGAAATGACCACTGAGGCCAGGACTGGGGGAGGCTTCCTTTGGCATTCCACCAATTTGTTAAAGATAACAAAGGGTCCCCCCTTCCTGAGACACAGATGGCACCATGAGATCTAATTAAGGGTTAGCTTGCAATGAGGCGCACACGAACCCTCTGAGGTGTATGTGAACCCTCTGACCTTACTGCAATGCCTCTCTGCACATCCGCTTACTCTATAAAACCTGTGCACTAAGGTCTGAACTTTGCAGAGCACAGCTCTGGATGGTCACCTGCTCAATCCTCCCTGTCAGTAAGTTACCCTGAATAAAACGCTGAGTGAAGTGGATGGAGTCGCCTGCTTTGTTTCCTGGTCTCAAAGTGCCTCCTCAGTAGGAAGGATGGACCCTCCTCCTCCACCTTTGAACACCGCCTACTGGGCAGCTGTCCCAGTGTTGGATGGTGAGCCACTGGTCTGAGACTCTGATGCCACCTCCTCAGCTTGTGGATCCCAGCCCCTACCAGGAGTTCGGGGTTTCAAGTCTCCCATGCCCCATTGTCTCTCCTGGGTTGGGGTGGGGCTCCCTGAGTTTCTCTCTCACTGAAGGGGCCATGAATTCAGGAATCCCGCACAGGGCTCTCACTTCTAGCCCCCAGTGTCAGGCAAGCCTGATGCGTCACTGGTCGCGTGGCCTGAGCCCCGCACAGCCGAGAAGCCTGTGACAGCCACACTGACACCCGAGCCTCCACACCACACAAAGGCTTGCACGCCAACTTCAAGCTCCATTCCTGGCTGGCACCGTCCTCTTCTTCGTTGGAAAAACTCTATTTAGTTTATTGTTAGTATTTACACTATACAGTGTATGTATTTGTAACAGGAAAGGGCCCACGGCTGCCCCTTCTGCCAGAAGTTGGGTATCTGGCCACTGCCTCTCATACCCACATCGAGGACTGCAAATGTCCCTGGTCAGCTGAGGACTCTCCAGGCTGTGCCTCCAGCTAAGATCCCTGCTGTGGAGCTGGCTGCCTCCTGGTCATGTCCACAAGCAGCATGAGCCCAGTCCCCTCCCCCTCAGCTCCCGTTCCTCATGTTGTGTGCGGTACACCTGGCAGCCAAGCCAGACACCCCGGTGAGAGGCAACTCCTCCAAACTCCACCCCTTTAACTGAGATCAACCCCTCCATATGCAAGATGGCCACCATACTTCAGACCCTATCCTTCTAATCAACCCTACAACAGCCTCCTGTCTCCCTTCCTCTGTCCAATCCCACACTGTCGCCAAGCGGATCATTCTAAATCACAAATAAGACACACCACTCTCTGCCTTAAAATCCTGTACTGGCTCCCTACCCCCTGCAAGAGAGCCGTCTGGACCCTGCAGCACAGCAAACACTCTGAGGTCTGGCCAGCGACTCACTCCCACCTCTCTCGACGGCAAACCTGCCAGCAGTTTCCTAGGGGGGTCGGGTGCTCGTGCCCCTGGGCCTCCCATGTGCTGCTCCCTCTGACTGAGCACGCTCCTTGTCTACCTCCCGTCTCAGCCGCCACCTCCCCAATCCACAGGGAAATTCAGTAAGGGCCAGGGGTGACAAGGTACTAGCTGACTTCTTTAAACATAAAGGATTCCCTGTAGCAATCATATTTAAACCAACTAAAGGTGACTTACAATCTCAAAGCAGGTACAAATTCATTACTATAACCCGGAGGCATTCTAAGAATGAATCACGCTAATATAAAAAACTTTTCAAGAGTAAATCACATGCTGATAGCCCCCAACTGCAATAAACGACAAGAAAAAAGATGTTTCGGAAATAAATTTACATAGAATATATAAGTACCACAAACAATATTTGTATATTTAATAAAAATTTTTACATCACATTAAGTTATAGGAGTAAAAGCAGAAATTGAAATTTCTGAATAAAACTTTCATATTGATGTTTCTGGTTCCTGAAACTTACCTGTTTAACTTCAGAGTTATATTAAACCTGGTTGAAAAATAGTCAAGTTTTTGTAGTACCAATTTATAAGATAGAAATTATTTTAATCAAAGAAAAAAATGTTAGCTCTATATCTGGTAACTGTATTTATTACACTGACTCATTAATATTAAACTAATTGAGCAAAAATACAGTGTGAGGAGTTGGATTTTTCAATGCACACCCGACCACACATTTTCTGTATGTGCAATTACCTAACGTTATTTCCTTCTGTGGGAAATCGGTCTTGGGAGAGGAAAGAACGTTCTGACTCAGACTGCACAGGCTTACCTGTCGCTCAGCTGAATTACAGCACTGTGCACCAGCTTTATCCTCCCTCCAGGTATCAGACCTAAAAATAGGAAAACCATAAATAAATGCACCTCTTAATACAAGTTAAACCAAAATCTAATCACAGTTGCCTGGAATCATTTCTCATGGCTTAAACATCTGTGTTAGGAAATGACACCAAATAGTGGGCCCATAAAGAGTGTTCCCTCCCTAATGCAGGCAAGGTTCGTGTAAACTGCCCTATGAGAAAAGGACTGTGGAACCAATCAAGAAGCCTTTACATTTTTAGATCTGATAAAATAAAAAAATGGCAGTACACTAAGCAAAACAAAACAAAACAAAACCAAAACCCCTTAAGTTCCCAACAGGAATAGTTTGCTGTAAATGCCCACTGGTGGTCTTATGCTCATCAGAAACACCCAGGACCTCCCTCCTACAAAGGCAGAGGCACACCCGGCGGTCACACGCTCCTCAGCGCTGGTACCCCCTTCCCTGGACTCCCGAAGCACTTATGGCCACAGCTCTGACCTCTCTGCCATTCACTGGCTTTGCCTCCTGTGTCTGTCCCCAATATCCTCCCCCTTTTTTTGTAATTACTGCAAAGGAGGGAACTAAAAATTTATGTATACTGAAACCCAAATTCTGGGCAAGGTACTGCCTAGACCCTTGGGAGTACAGAGACCCTAACCATACAGACAAATTCAACTTGCAGGAAGTGTGACTGATTATAGTGACGGGCTCTGTCAAGGTTACAACTCTGACGGGAGAATGTTCTATGTTGTCACAGACTTGAGACTGCCCTCCGTTTTCCCCAGCACACTGTCCTCCTACAGGAACTCCAGTGCTGAAAGTCTCGGCCCAAATGTTATGGCCTCCCCTGGGAAGTCTTCCTGCCCTGGCTCCACAGCCCTTACTAAGCACATCTTCTGACGTAGCAGTCACATCACCGATGGCCATGGCTGGTGTGTCAACCTCCCCATATAAGACAACACTCCCTGGGGCAGAGCCAGCATCCTGTCACCTTGCTCCCCTGGCACCCAAGACAGGGCCCAGTTTGTTAAGAACCCTTCATTGATGGTGAGTGATTAGCTGTAGCCATGATTTGAGTTAGCACTCATGTAACACACACACACCTCAAACGCTCCCACGGGCATTTAATGGTCGTGCTCTTCCAGCACCGACTACTGGTATGAATGTCAGCCCCTCTTTTCCCAAAAGCAAAGCTGAAACATGGTCAGAGTTTGGGTAAGTGGTCCTATAGATAAAAGGAGTTTTTATATAACAACACTTAACGATGAAATACACACTGCCCTATAATAACTTCTGTGTGACTATTCCATATTACTACAAAGTATTTTTATGCAAAATGATTTCATCTCCACAGGCAGATTATGAACTAACTGTGGACAGAGACTTTCTAACTCCTCACCACCATCCAAAATGCCTAAAAAATGGCCTGGTCATGGCTCAAGAGAGCAACACAGGCAGCCTCAAGATGCGCTCAAAGGCTGCAACATCCTTGGGTCCAGGGCATCAGCCTGGGTGAGGGCAGGGTCAGCCCTGAGCCCAACTCTGAGTCCGACCCCACCATCAAGCCACACTGAGGAGGGGTGAGCACCTCCCAGACGCTGTCCTGCTCTAACATCCCAAGAGTCTATGAGCCCCCCAAAGGCTCAATACAGACTCAGTATGATGGCTTTGTAATAAGCAGAGAGGAAGCTATAAGAAAACAGTGAGAAAATAGTTACTCTGCCTCAAAAATGTTTACGCATGAAATCAGTGAGATAATTCAGCCCTGTTTTCATTAAAGTTAGAGTCCACAGTACTTCCGAGCACTGTCTCTGACATTCAGCACGAAGCACGCAGCCCTTGCTCCATGGAGAAAAAGTGCCCCATCTCTAACCCTCTGGTTTCCAGACGGCAGGAACAAGTGTCAGCCGGGCACACCCCTCACACAGACAGGGTGAACGGGGCTGCTCCCTGGAAAGTAAGCAGTTGAACTAATGATGTGAGGACAGAGTGAGGGAGTGCCAGACCCAAGGAACAGACTCAAGAGTCCACCATGCCCAGGGAGCGAAGCACTGGACGCCACGGCATCGCAAAGTGCTCGAGCTGACTCACACTTCTGAGATGGAGCAGGGACGGGACTCCAGTCCCTCATCCAGAAGTCCTCACACGCCACCGTCACCCAGTTTTCTAGCCCTGCTTACAGGTGCTGCCAGAAACTAAGCCAGACACCAGAAGCCACAAGTCCCCAATAAGCAAGCCCGCAAGACCCAGTTTTTGACCAGTTTACTCCAGTTCAGACACCCTCCAGCATCTAAAAGGGAAGTTCGGCTGTGAGAACCAGACCAAACCGGTCTGAGCCAAGACGGACCACAGTGCTGACCCTTCACCAGCTTTCCCCCTCATTATCATACCAAAAATCACACCCGGGGGTGGGGATTTAACATGCTAATTAGACATGCAGCGTATGAAGGAGCACGAAGAAGCATGACCGCTAAGTGTGCAAGCCCCCAAAAAATCCCTGCTCTACATGTTTAGACGTCACCCTTTTCCCACCAAAGTTTCTTTAAAGCTCTCACCAACCCCTCCTGGGGAGGCAGCCTGAGGACTCCCTTTGTGCATCCCCCTAGGGCTGGGGCACAAGCCCCAGCAAAGCCCTGCCTGGAACCCCCTTTGAGCCTCTTGTCAATTTCTATTGCTTAGCACGCCCAGGGCCGTTCAGTAAACACTTGCACTCCCCCCGACGTGCGAGGCCGTGGCAGGCCTCTGCCAACTCCAACCTCAGAGAGCCCCTGGAGTCCGACCAAGGGAAGACCACCCACAATGAACATGCGTTCAAGCGCTCAGACTCCTGAGTGCATGGAAGGAACACAGAGAAGAGAATGGCACACAGACAGAAGCAGAACTTATTAACCCTTCCTGAAATGAAAACATCGTCAGCTGGAAGGAGTATTACTGAATCACTCTGACGTGTCTATTCAGCGATTGATTACAGTCATACAATATAGAACGTTAATGTTCATTTTTCAGGCAGCTACTTACTTATTTTTCAAAGTGGTTGTCAGCATCTTTAATCTCTATTCACCCTAGAAAACATTGACTAAGTTAACTTTTTTTATTTAATAGTTACCTAAGTCACTTACTGAGCCTGCAATATCTGCCTTTGGTAATTCAACAACCACCTAAAAACAGAATATTGAAATGAGTATTAATGCATGTCAGGGATATACCAGGACACAATCTAAGCAAAGTGCAATTCTAATTAAGATAGCATTCTATATTCGGTACTAAAAATATAATTGCTCCAGAAAAAAGACTGATCGTTAACTTCAGAATTAGTATTTTAAATGTTATGAATCCCTTTCCTTGATCTCTTTTCACATCTCGTCACTCAGACTGGCCAGTGGCCAGAGCCTCAGTGCGTCCTCTGAGAGTCCCCCAAGAATGCATCCCCAGCGCCCTCCCCTCACTCCCCCAGGAAGTCCTGCAGGAGCCTCCGAGTCAGTCCCGTATCGCCCTCAGTGTTTGCGTCTTAGCCAAGCATATCATCGTCCGACCACCAGGCACATATGAGTGCCTGGACTACCACAGAACTGGCAAGTCCGAGAGCCCATGCATTCAGTCGGCGCTGCCCCATGTGTGAGCACCTGGGCACATCCTACTCACCCACACATTGAGAACCCCACTTTCATCCAGGGAAGCAACGTGGAATGACAAACCTGACATTTCTAGTAGAAACAGAAACAAGAAATGGCTTGTGAACAAAGAAACCACATTGCATAACTTGATTGAAGGATTTCACAGAAGTGAAAGATCACATACCTTCTTGAGTAGAAAAGGGGGAAAGCACAAAACTCTGTTTTTTGTAGACAGACGTGGAGATGGGTTCTACGGCTTGAACAGGACTGCGGTGGTTTACGGAAGTCAGGATACCATCTAAGGTTTAAAGCACACAGGACCACATGTGAAGAAGTCACAGAAGCACAACTAATGTCATGTGGGGACCCATCCTCCCCAAACACCACAAAACCAATATGGACCCCAAATAAAATGATGTGTGATCACGGCTTTCAGCATTACTGTGAAACAGAGATCATGGACCTCAAAACACCTGTAAGGAGAGAGAGAAGTACTCATTCCAACAAGTCTATAGGCATAGAGGGCAGGGGTGAGGTTAAGACCCTCCACGGCACGAGGGAGTCAAAGGCCCAAGAGAAACCAGGCAAAAGCGCCCTCGGAGAGCAAACCCAGCTTCCCGGGCAGGGCCTGGTGGGCCACTCACCAGCTACAGGGATGGACAGGCTGCGAAGTGGAGCCGGACAAAGGGCAGGGCACGGCAGCACACGGAGCAGAGACACTCGCCTGCCCCACCCAGTAAAGAAACGACATTTCACAAACTAACAGAATAAAGCTCCTCTGACCTAGAATAGCCATCTATAAAAAGTCCAAGAACAGGGAAAAAAAAAAAATCAACAAACTCCATACAAAACTGCTCTAAGAAGAAAATACAAAATGCAAATCAAAGCATGTGAGATAAAAATTCTCCTGCCCCAAACAAGCACTTAGCAGAAGCCCAGAACTCACCACTCCAGACTGTGTCACATCTCTTCAAAAAGCACTTGGAAATGTACTTCAAGCAAGCAAGCAAGCAAAAACAACACCTGAAATCAGAAACCCAGGACAGAAGTGGAGAGAAAACAGCAAGAAACAAAATGAGAGCGGGGGCTGAACCCTGCGAAAAACCAGTGAAGAGCAGACAAGACTCCAGTTCACCGAGCTTGAGGAGCAAGCACTGAGGGCAGCCCAGGTACTGGGCCGGGGGCACACTGGGAGGAGAGTTGTGCAGTGCAGGGGTGGGGGGAGGGGGTGCTGTACACTGCAGGGGGGCTGCACACTGGTGAGCCACCCTGGGGGGGCACACAATGGGGGGCCACACTGAGGGTGGCCTGCAGATGGAGGGCACTGGGGGGGTCCACTGGGAGGGGCTGTAGGGGGAAGATGCTGGTGGGGGTGTGTGCAGGGGCTGGGTCAGAAGCTCCCTGGCTCACTCACTGCTGGGAGCTCAGTGAAACCTGAATGGTCCCAGTGACAACGTTCAGTGGCAAAAGAAAATGAAGGAGGTGTTTGAATGGAGTCACTTATCTATATATGTACAGTTTAAAAACTTACAGTTCTAGTGTTCTGAACATGGTGGTGAATTCAAACGTTAATTAGTATATCAGGAGCAATTAGCAAATGCACATTTTTAAAAGCTATCTTTTGGGAGGCGCCTGGGTGGCTCAGTCGTTAAGCATCTGCCTTTGGCTCAGGTCATGATCTCAGGGTCCTGGGATCGAGTCCCACATCGGGCACCCTGCTCAGCAGCAAGTCGGCTTCTCCCTCTCCCTCTGTGATCTCTCTCCCTCTCTCAAATAAATAAATAAAATCTCTTAAAAAAAAAAAAGCTGTCTCTGTAATAGCATCAAACCCATAAGGTACCTATAAACTCATACATTCTCAACAACAGCAACATTGCCCCAAGGAGGCAAAGGTTGTTTGTTAGGGGACAAAAAACCTTTTTGTATGCATTGTGAAAATTAATAAAGGGAAACCTCACTACAGTGGAGTTGGGAGGCTAGATGGGGAGCCCAGCACTCAGTGCCCGTCACGAGAACTGTCAGTTAGAAACCCCAACATCAGAACACTCCACAGGACAGAATCACCAGGGAAAGATGTTCACTGCGTTCCCCAGCAGCTCAGCCAGTGAGAAACCTCATCACCTGGAACCCTGCTTTTTTCCAGTGGACCTTTCTTCAAAACAACCCCCCCAACTTCCTCCTTCTCCAAGCAGTAACATCCCTGTCCTGTGTTTCTTGCACTTGCCTAGATCTGCCATAGCGTGCTTATCTGGATTGCAACCCTCTGCCATACCCAAATAAATCCATCTTTTGCTGGTACAATAACTGGGAGTTTTAAGGCTAACAGTATAAAACACAGTTATGCATATAGTACATACACAGATATGCAACATATGTGTGATATCAAAGTCTCATGGAGGAAGACTAGAAACAGAAAGTTCAAAACCCCACTTGGTTAAGAAATGAGAAGATTAGCCACAGCCTGGGAAAAAATACTGGCAAAACACACATCTGATAAAGGACTGTTATGCAAAATATAAAAAAAAAAAAAAAACCCTCTTATAACTCAACAAGGCAATAAATCATTTGTAGAAATGTGCAAAAGACCTGAACAGACACCTCCCCAAAGAAGACACACAGGGGCAAAAAAAAGAGGGGGGAGCTTTGGGAGCACCCAGGTGGTACAGTCCGTTGAGCATCCGACTCTTGATTTGGGCTCAGGTCATGATCCCTGGCTGTGGGGTCAAGCCCTGCGTCAGGCTCCGTGCTCAGCACAGAGTCTACTTGAGATTCTCTCTTCCTCTCTTCACACCTCATGCGTGCTCTCTCTCTCTCAAATAAATAATCTTTTTCTAAAAAGCCTATGAAGAGATTCTGCACATCATATGTCATCAGGAAATGCACATTAAAAGCATAATGAGACACCACTACACACCTAACAGAATGGCTAAAAAGCTGGTGGTACCACGTGCTGGTGAGATACAGAGCACCAGGAGCTCATACTTCGCTGGGACTGCAAAATGGTCCAAGCGCTGACACAGGCCCTTTGATGCAGGCTCTATTCACAGTCGTCAACAACTGGAATTAACCACGTGCTCACCACCTGGTGGACGGGTAAACAACATGGTGCACACATTTGAGGGACGAGCTGCTGGTGCACGCAGCAGCACAAGGAGCTGTAAATGCAAAATGCTAAGTGAGAGAAGCCAGGCTCAACGGTCTACATTCTGTAGGATTCCATTCATTTGACGTCGGGAAAAAGCAAAACTGTGGAGACGGAAAACCTATTAGTGGCTGGTGGGAAAGGAGAGACAGGAAACCAAGTGTGTGGGGGGCACAGGGGCTCCTGGGCAGGAATGGAGAGAAAGACAGAGTGGCGCCAGTGGGGTCTGAGGGCAGGCCCCGCCACAAAGCACTGAGGAAGCCCCAGAGCACGTACCACCAAGGGGTGGGGCTGTGATGCTGGGGTTGTGGAGGTTGGTTTGGCGGTTGTTGTGGCTGTTGGCTAAGGCTGCAGTTTGTGGTTGTTTGGTCGTGGCTGCTGGGGTTGCGGTGGCTGTGGCGGTTGTGGAGGCTGCTGTGGCTGTGGTGGGTGGCTGTGGCTACGTGACTGTGGCTACAACGGCACGGCAGGAAGGGTTCACATTAAAGATCCTGGCAGGTGCAGATGTTCAGGGTCTTTTCATCCCCCAAGAAGTGAATCATTTTCTGTCTATTTCAAGCATTCGTGGGGTTAACTACGCCGTGGAACACACACGTACCAATATGCCTCAAGCTAATTTAAAACTAAAAGTTATTTCACTGAGGATTTGAAATCCAGAAATTTAACAAGAAAGAGCATTCTAATCATTGCTGGCCATGAGCTGAGCACCACCTGGGTAGACTTTTTATTTCACTACTCATCAAATGCCTCTTTCGCTCAGAGGCCAGACCCCGTCCTCTGGGGTCATCTGAAGGAATAAATGCAGACGCTGCCGATGTTCCTCAAGTGTGTCACGACTTTTCTAGCAGACACCGGCGGGCAGGTGGGGGTCACTGACCAGTGGAAAACGTTGCCGTCCTGAAGGTCCAGAAGCAACTGCCCAGCTTCACATAATGATGTATTCTAGAGTCTTCTCGTAGGTCCCACACAACCACTGAGCCGTGCACTGTCCCAGCGAACAGTAAAAAGGCTTTAAAAGGGCTAAAGCAGCAACATGTGACCTGGAATGACATACACAGGAAGCTGGAGACTGAAAGCGCGAGGCCATGGTCATGGGAGCACCAACCCTCCCCGTGTCCCACACTGTCCCTGGGAACCCCCCACCGGGAAGTAAGCAGGTGCAAGTCAGCATCTGCTCCAAGTGCAGAGCAGGGAGGACGAGCCGCTGCGGGACTGGCGTTCACAAACACAGGTGCCTCGCACGCAGCTGGGCACACAGAGTGTGCACCACAGCCCCTCCGTTCAACCCCAGTCGCCAGGCCCAGAATGGCAATGCCATGCTCTGTCATTTTATTTACATCCTACACCACAAAACCGGTAAAAGTTATTCTTCTCAACCACCTTGGTGAAAATCAGTGACTTTGAGATCAAGGAGCATATGTATTTTCCCAATCCAAAAGGAAGCAAACCTAAAAGGACAACTCTCCCACTGTACCTGTTAATGAGGGGCTAGGAGAAGCACAAGAGAGGACTCTGAAAACGTCCACGCTGCTAAGACACCCCTAAAATATCCATGACTCAAATATTGCAAGCCAAAAAGGGACACTTCTCGGGTCCCAGAGACATGCCAAGGGTGGCCAACATCTTTATGAAGTCTATAGCTACACGGATACCTACTCAACCCCAGTGGACCTATAAGGCTGTGATAACCCCAGATTTCTTCAGTCTGAGTTGGTCTTTGAAATAAGAATTTCTAGACTCAAAGTAGACACGTGCATGTGTCCCATCACACCTGCATACAGCTGAGGGCGGCCGGGAAGGGAAAGAAATGGCCATCCACCTGCACCTGCCCCTCCCACTCCCGGCCCTTCCTCTCAGGAAGCCTACGACTCTCCCGGGGCCGTACCTTCGACTCACATATCAGGACCTTCTGAGGCCCCGAAGGCTGCCAGATATCCCAGACGCACAGCACATATCTGCCATCCAGCGCAGGGGCGAACGCGGCTCCAGGCAGCCCGTGCACAGACACCACCGTCTGTCTCTGCACCTGAGAGGCACATAAGCACGACACTTTTCGATCTGGGGGTAAAAATGAGAGAAGTATTTCTGCATGTTAGTGTTTGCCAGAATCCACGTTAAATGAACACACAAGAATATTCAAATAAGGGCTCCTGGGTGGCTCAGTCGGTTGAATCATGATCTCAGGATCCTGGGATCGAGTCCCACGTCAGGCTCCCTGCTCAGTGGGGAGTGTGCTTCTCCCTCTCCCTGTACCCTTCCCCTTCCCCCTGCTCATTCTCTCTCTTTCACTCTCTCAAATAAATATTTTTTTTAATATTCAAATAAATTTCTGCTTAATGAAGAAATAAAGTCCTTTCAGAGCTGCCTGGGCCTGAGGTCTGGGTTTCAACAAGTGGCCACTGCTCCTCCTGAAAAAGGCCCAAGTGGGCCTCATGGTTTTCCTGATGTTCGGCGTACGCCACGCCTCGTCTGCAAGCTACTCTCAGAGAACCAAATTGCCTGGATGCGATCTGGAGTCAGGCCACGCAAGGGGTCCCTTTCGTGCCTCATTGAGCCCCTCGAAGCCTGTGGTTTTCACACAGCAAAGCCTTCTCCCTCAGGAGCCAAGAGCGCCGGCCCTGACACTTCCTCTCCTCGGAACTCACCCCTCTGACACACCGCACATTCACTTTTCCAGTCACCAGGAGGGCAGGACTTCTGTTCACTCGACCCAAAGAAACAGCAGGCCAGCGTTGGCTGCATCATTCTTTGGTGTGTGTCTGAACAGTGAGGTTGGCACCACACAGATCCGTCAAGATCGCAGACTGGGCGGGTGCCTGGGTGGCTCAGTTGGTTGAGCGACTGCCTTCGGCTTAGGTCATGATCCTGGGGTCCCAGGATCGAGTCCCACATCAGACTCCCTGCTCAGCAGGGAGTCTGCTTCTCCCTCTGACCCTCCCCCCTCTCATGTGCTCTCTCTCTCTCTCATTCTTGCTCTCTCAAATAAATAAAATCTTTAAAAAAAAAAAAGATCACAGACTGGGGTGTAATGTGACCAGGTCCCAGGTTCACAGGTGAGACCAACTCCTCACTCGGTCAGATAACCTGCCATCTAATCTCATTTTCCTTCTGTTACCTCAAAATTCATGTCACTGAAGGGGTGCCTAGTGGCTCACTCGGCTGAGCGTCCGACTCTTGGTCTTGGCTCAGGTCGTTATCTCAGGGCCTTGAGCTGGAGCCCCACATCAGGCTCCGCACTGGGCATGGAACCTGCTTAAGATTCTCTTTCTCCCTCTGCCCTCCCTACCACCCCGCTCTCTCTCTCTCTTTCTCTTTCTCTCAAAAAATAAGTTCATGTTACTGGAACACAAAACAAACTAACGAGAGAAACCTGCACACTGTTCATTGGGGGAACGCATGCCTACCACACCCAAGGGCCCCGTGCTGTAAGAACATACGTGCATTATGTGTTTCTCACAAAGGATTCTAGATGCATGTATATAACCCAAGCTCCCTCAGTTTTGTAAGCTGTGTTACTCATCAGCTCCTGGAGCAAAGTGTGTCTTTAACTCCCGTTTCTTGGGGTGAGGTGGGCTGTGAGAGTGTGAGCGTGCAGGTTTTGAACACTCTAGATACAATGATTTACTATTTTTCTAATAGGGTAACTCTTACCTTTTAAAAATGAAAACTCTCACAGAACATGAGTTTTTTTTTTTTTTAACCAGTAATGCCATTTTTGTTCATGGTAAATGAAAAGGAACATATGTGAATATAAATCTCTAGAGAGCAGGCAGGACAGAAGAAACATCTAGAGGAAATGGCACCAACGCCTGGCTCCCCACAGGCCTGGGATGCTGGGCAAGCTGGCCACTGGGCCCCCCGGAGCAGACCGAGGCAGCTGTAGAATCTTGTGCTCCCGGTACCACAACATGCCTTTACTGAGTTCAATCATAATACTGTCAGACTGGCATGCTCTCACTACAGGATTTCATTTACTGTCAGGTAAAGCCCTGAATATATTTTTATTCTTTCTACAAGTGCACTGTCTGTTTCTTTGTACATACAGTACAAGAAACAAATTATTTCAGAAACTAACAAAAATACTCTTCCTTTCCCTCCGACACAGACCAGGACAGACTGCAGCCACTACCTCACCAGCTGGAACAAGGCAAAGAGATGACCAGCTGAAGAAACATCAATTTGGCCATGTGAACGCACTCCGCTTAAAGCAACTTAAACGCTCACACGTGCATGCGGCAGCTCAGCCGGGGTGCTCTGGGACCAGCTGAGGTCTGAGGACGAGGACCCGTGGGAAGAGCAGCTACTCACACTGCGTTCACGGAGCACCCCCTCACGCGGCCCCCCGGGGCCCCCACTCCAAGGAACCAAGAGAAACCGAGTAACGGACCAGAAGAAACGGGATTTAAAACACACACACAAAACCTCCGCTTCCACTCATTTAAATTATGGCTCACCCCCTCTATTCCCTGGGGCCAGTGTTCATGTGAGTCTAACGCAGTTTCCTTTTTAGAAGAAAACCGACTTTGCATTTCAGAGTTCTGCAGATGCTGAATCTCTGTTCTGTATTCAGTAAACCCCATGACATTAACACAAGATGCAACAGTAAAGATCATTCTTTCAACATAAATGCTCGCTATGAGATTTCAACACACTTCAAGGCTAGCCCTTACTCTGAAGGAATGGTAGGCTGGTATTCAGCTGAGAGGAGTTGTCACTGATATGCAGGGTGCTGTCCTGTGTCCCGGGGCCCCAGCTGGGTTCGGCTCCCACACGATCCTCTTCAAGCAAAACCGCAATCACCTTTCAAAGACAGTGAGCAGTCCTTCATAAGATTTCAAATATATTCACTTTTATAAGAACAAAACAAAACACACAAATCATTACCTATCACATTTCTGAAAATAACTGCTTAACTCCAAGACATCACAGAAACGAACAGAACAAAATTATATTGTTCTCTCTGCACAATAATAGAAACAAACAGGTAAAGTTCCATTAACATAAACTCCACAGGACAGTCATCATTTAAACACTTTTCTAAAAATAACAGGAGGAGAAAAACAGCAGACCACCCCAGTTTTCTTGACTAAAGAAGGGGTATAAAAATATATCAGGCATATACACACCACTATTGTCTTTCTCATGGGGCCACATTGAGGACAGAATGAGCAGTACTGTCACTGAAATGGCTCTAACAGGGTCATGTCTAGGGTGATGATGGGAAAGGGGACACACGGCAGAACCAGGAGAAACATCCACCGCAGAAATGGGACCGGCATGGGAGGTCAGGCTGCAGAAGACGAAGGAGAGCTGGGAGGTTAGGGTCAGCCCAGGCCCAGCCAGGCCCACTCTGGCCTCACTCATTCCTACTCCAGCCCCACCTCCCTTCTCACCCTGTACCCAAGGGCTCTCTCTTCGTAGCTCCCCATGAACTGACCCTAAAAGAGAAGCTAAGTTTAAAATTACATGAAAGTATCTCATGAAGCACAGACTCTCCCCTAACACAGCACGCGGGGAGGAAGGAACCACCGTGTGTCCAGAATGCAGACGGGGAAACAGGTGGACTCCAAACCCACACATCAGTGTGGCCGCTCCCATAAAGACACAGGAGAAAGCTGAGGGCACGTGAGCGACTTCACTCTCAATAGTTTTAAGGGTCCTTTTAAGAGACTCACCCTGAAACGTGGAGGGGCTGAGTGTTCAGAAATAGCTGGAGGTGGATGTGGGGTGAGGCCATCAGCCATGAGTTGATAACCAGCAGTGTACATGGGGTTCAACAGACCGTTCCCATCATCTTTGTATGTATTTTGTAAATTTCCTCAGTTAAAACTCATGAATTTATTAATTTCGAATAGCCTAGTGTATGCCTGCCTTCACAACACAGTATGTCTGTTTTTTAGTCTATATTTATGTTAAAATGTAAGAAACCAGTATTAAAGTATGGACTCCAAGTACACAGCCAGCCTTGTGGTGACACACATCACACGGGGGCCCAGTGAGCACGTACCTGGCACGCCGCCCGGAGGAAGCTGGACAGCCTGGGTGTGTCGACCTTCGGTGCAGCGGCCACATCACGGGGATCTCCACTCCTGCTCCCTAAAGAGAGCAGGCTGCACTGAACCAACCAAGTGGACCCTAAACTTCATGTCTTACACACCTTAGGATTCAAAGAGTTGTTACAAACTTTTCCCTGGAAGGAAAAGTCAGAGAATTTTACGTTGTATTCTCTAGATCTACCACGATTTTTTCAAGAACTGCACCTTGTTTTATGGAAGGTCTGTACACAGAATCCTACTTACATGCACTAAGGGAAATAGTTAAAGGCATCAATTTAATCACTTTGTAAGTGTTAGGTTTGGGTATCTTCTTTTCCTAGGGGGAAGCTTACCTGAGGAAAGGGAGCAGTAGAGCCCCGGCCACACAGGGTAAGTCCTGTGAGTAAAAATCAACTAGGAAGGCAACCGGCATCAAGCATGGCACTGTGCATTCTCTGGGCCTTCCATCTAACACTCAGACAACATGTCTGGAAACCGAACCTCCTATACGAAATTCTCTATTAATGAGAACAGGCCCATTTGAAAGCACTTGTTTAGAATATGGACTCTCCCTCTGTTTAGGAATAAAAGTGTTATCAACCCCGGTCAAATCCCACACTGGGCCTTTAGCTCAGTGCTACTGTTAGTGGTTCCCAAAAGCTAGTCTGCTCTTGCGAAGAATACTGGGTGTCTCCCTAGTCACACACTAACAACCACACCGGAAGAAACGGTACAAGAAGAAATGACAGGAAAGATAATAAACACAACACCAAAAATAACGTCAAGACACTGCACTCAGTGCTCAAGAGCAAAGACCTGCTCACCCCCTGACACGGCCGGGCCCTCTCCGGGATGCTGGGTCCACACCCCTCTGGTCTCTATCTCTTCAGTCTGGATGTCTCTGTCAACATTATCTTCATTGTACTGAACATATGCCTTAAAAAAAAAAGAGATATGCTGGAATTAGCACTGGGTCTCAACTTCAGAGCAATTTCTCATCACTGGAAAGAAAAAAAGCAAAAGTTTTAAAGTTAATAGTGAGTCTTCTTGCTTTTGTCAAAGGTATTGTGGTAGAAATAACAATCATGCAAAGACCGCTTGTGTCTTAAATGTTGATACATACAGGCCTAATTTTTGAAGGTATTTTCAAAAAGTCACATTAAACTGTTAGGTAAAAATTGGACAGAAGTGGAAGGAGACCCTGAGGCAGAGTCCTAAGTCCCAGAAGGGGAGTGACAGAGTCAGGAGCTGGAGGTGAGGACGGTGATTTTAAAAAGCTATGCATTAAAAGCCTGGAGCTCAGCATCCTGACCTTGGGGCTGACGGATCAAAAGCCACAGGTGTGGAGCATGAGCCCTCCTCCACCTCTGCCCCAGGGAAACCCCTAGACTCTACAGGATGCGTTTGCTTTGCGGGTACAGTCCGACCCTAGGAGAAAGGCCCCCAGGATGTTCCAGTTCAACCTCGTTAGGGGCAAAAACTCCCCATCCCAACCTGTGGGAGAAGTTTCCCAAAGGACTGAAAGCACCTCCATTAGACACACTCCTCCCAGCCCAGAGAGACCCAATAACATCCAATCCCAAAACAACCTAGCCCCCTCTCCACCTTCAGAGTGTCCTTCTGCTTTAACACACTGCTTTGTGCTCACTGCTTTCCTTCTGGCAGTCTTTATTCAAACATGGATCCCCACAGAAATCTTCTCATTCACATAATACAGAAACTCCCTCATCCCTGACAAAACAATTTAGCTTTGGTTTGAAAATACTGCCACCTAGTCCACCAACTTCCTATTCTCCCAGAACATACTCCGTCTTTGCAAACCAAACACAACTTTTTTTATTTCAAAAAATTTATAAATAAACTTTTATTTATGCTTCAGTAAAGATAAATGTGTTACTAATAGCTTTGAGATGAGCAGGTAACCTACTCAAGGGTGGAGGGAGCCAGCTGTGAAGCCGAGACTAATCTGTCAGCTTTCTGAAGTTTGCCTGTGCCCTTCTTCCTACAGAAAGAGTCTTACAGACGGAGTGTACCCAAGCACCTGTTGACCGATGACAGTATCAGGGACAGAAGAAAAATGTTCAGAACCTTTACAACCTCGTTGGGAAGTTGGACAGTTATGAAACTCATGCTTACAATACTACAGGGGAGTACAAAGTGTGTGGTGTGGATGTAGCAAGTGTGGAGTAAGAAGGAGAATTCAGTGGAAGCCATGAGGAAGGGATTCACCTAAGGAACAGACGTGGACAATGAGGACTCGGCAGGTAGAGGAGAGGAGGAAAGCAAGGTAACAGAGAGGCATGCGGGGATGGCGGGTTAAGGGAGGCGGGGGTGGAATGCAACAGATGGGACAATGGGCAACGGATCCAAACATAACATTCTGCTTGACTTTTTTTTTTAAAAAAAGACTTTATTTATTTGCTAGAGGGAGAGAGTGTGGGCGACAGAGATTGAGCAAGAGCACAAGCAGGGGGAGCGGCAGAGGCACAGGGAGAAGCAGGCTCCCCGCTGAGCAGGGAGCCCGGTGCGGGGCTCGATCCCAGGACCCCGGGATCATGACCTGAGCCGAAGGCAGTCGCTTAACGACTGAGCCACCCAGGCATCCCTCTGCTTGACTTTAAAACATCTGCAAGTTTGGGAGCGTGCCCCATTCCACGTGGGCTCAGGAGCCTGTGGAGCATTCGTGGACATGTGCACACGTGCACAATCTCTCCAGGTTAATGAGCACCACATGATGAAGGGGTTCCCTCTTCCTCAAGTCTACATCCTTCCCACACTATTCCCAAGCTCTAACGTTCTGGAACAAGATACAGTATAGCACAAGTATACCTTACTGTACCCTACTTGTTAATACATCTTATACTAACCTGCTTGGTATTTTTTTTCCCAAAGTTTCTGATATACATGTCATATTCATTTACTGGCGGTAGATCCAAGAGAGAGAAAGTGAATGAAAAATCTAAGTCAATGAGCCGAAGCAGCTTTGTACTGCGTGTCCTTTAAAATAAATTGGAAACAAGAGAAAAGTTAAAAATATACAAAGGAAAATACAGGGAGAGCATAAGGAACCTTATAATCAGATCAGGTAATTGTCGAGGACCGAATTTTCCTGGGGCTGAGTCTGAGGTATTCAACAGTTGTGAATAATAAGACAGTCATGCATGCACCAGCAATGTGACTATAGAATGAACCAAATTTTTTATTATTCTAATTCCGTGCACCTGAGGTGAACACAAAATAAAGTTATAATATTTGCATGCCTAGAATTTTCATGGAAAGCAATTATTTTGCTTCATGAATTGATGTCTTGATCAGAAGGATTACATTCTGTGATGTCACCTGGGCTGTGGCCAGGTGCACGCTGTCTCTTAGGCCACTCCTCCGAGATGACCAGACAGGAAGTGGCCAAGCAGCACATACCACAGCCCATCGCCCCTCCCACCCGACAAGGCCGGCAAGATGCTGCTTGCACGTGGATTCCCCTGGCCTCGCGCACCGTTCTTCTCCACTCACCTGAGCTGGTCTCTCTTTCCTTCCAGGCACCCTCATGTGGCGTGCCCAGGGATCAAGCCCTGTATTCACTGTTCATCACCCCCACTGGAACATGAGCTCTGCCTGGCCAGAATGTTTGCTTTCTTTCATTTACTATGATTTCCACAGAGCTGGTGCTCAGTCTGCATGTGGGGAATGGTCTCCACCACCCGGGCAGCTCACAAATGAGATCTGCTCCCTCCCCATCCTTATGTGCCCATTCTCGGGCTTTCCCACTAACTGCCACCTTTCCATAACCTTACTCTCTGGCCACTGTCACACCTTCCCCAATTAGTACCTCCAGTTCTCCATATTCAGTATAATTTCTGACCTGAAGTAATTCATGTAACACACGTACACTTATGTATCATAATACAGTACCATCCCACGACCTGCTGCCCAACCCCAGAACCAGAAACCGTGGGATGACCTGTGCCCACATAGGGCCCCCCACTGCCCGTGACAATCAGTATACAGAACTTGGTAACTATCATCTTCTTGCTTTGTAAAATATTTCATCTTACCTTTATATATGCCTAAACATCACACTGTGTGGTTCTGATTTTCTCTGAGTTTATAAAAATTATATTAAACCATATGTAGTTTCCAAGACTTGAATGAGGTTAAAGCAAAAACAAAACCTAGCCATAGTGGCAAAAACTGATTTTACTACCTTATATTTTATAAGGACAACAAAAATGATATGAAAACTTATTATTCATGATTTATTTGTTCATTAAGCAAAGTTTCCTGAGTACCCACTAAGGTCATGTTTGAGCTAGATGGAATGATGGCTTTTAAAAAACATTTAATGTGGGGCACCTGGGTGGCTCAGTTGGTTAAGCGACTGCCTTCGGCTCGGGTCATGATCCTGGAGTCCCAGGATCGAGTCCCGCATCGGGCTCCCCGTTCAGCAGGGAGTCTGCTTCTCCCTCTGACCCTCTTCCCTCTCGTGCTCTCTATCTCTCATTCCCTCCCTCTCTCAAATAAATAAATAAAATCTTTTAAAAAAAAAAAACATTTAATTTTTACTTTTACTCCTAAATCATACTTGAATTTAATATGATAGACCCTTTACTTGAGACTATACCCTTTGACTTTCATAAATTTCTAATTTTATAAATTTCTAAGTTATAAACATTGACTGTGACATCTGGGAGCCCTGGGTTCCAAACTTGAGCCTCACTCTCCTCATCTGTAAAATGGGGCTGCAGGGAATGAAGTAGTTGACACACAGGGAGCACAGTGCCTGGGACACAGAGGGAAACTCGCACTATGTGCACCCAGCTGTTAGCACTCTTGACCCTTACAAATTGCTCAGCCTCCTCCTCTGAGAAACGGACACAGGAACACTGAGCTCTCCAGTGTGCGAGCATTAGGTGGCGCTCGCTGCACCTCGAGTGGGAGCCCCATGCGGAGACGCAAGGAGGGCCAAGCTCATTCAGTTCAGGGAGCACAGGGCTGTGACCCCGCCTCAGCCAAAACAGGGTGTGACTCCTGAGGTGACTCCAGAATCTACAAACGCTGGACACCAAGCAGTAGTAGACATCGGTGCACTTCCACTATTAACACGACAGCGGAACACGGAGAGACGTAGCACAAATTTAAAAACGTACGTAACGTCAGTAGTGAAAAGAAAAAGAAAAGCTCTATTTTTTTAAAGCATACTGAAGTATATTAAAATTCCATAATACCCTTCACAAATTCCCAACACACCTACTTTTGCTTAAGGGCCTGAGTCCGACTCTTCTGACGGCGTGAGGCTGTTGCAAAATCAACGAAAATTCCACATACAGGGGCTCTGGCAGGGGAACTGTTTTCATCTGTACAAAAAAAGAGAGCTATTTTCTGAAACAAATATTTCTTTCAGGCGGGACAGCTCCCCTGGCTTCCAAGACACTGGCTTCGCTATAAGCTTAGAGAACATTCTATGTATCAGCACTCGCCAGCTCAGTTCTGCCTCATCTGTAGCAAGCACAAAATACAAGGGTCCTAGGGGCGCCTGGCTGGCTCGGTCGGAACAGGTGACTCTTGATCTCCAGGTCATGAGTTTGAGCCCCACGTGAAGTACAGAAATTACTTAAATAAATAAAACTTAAAAAAAAAATGAGGATAATTATCATTCTGCCTAACTTTCATTTGGATTATTATATTAATTACTAACCATAATTAGTTGTATTAATTGCTAATTGTTTTATTGGATAATTTAAAGTAGTATATCATCCAGTAATATTTTTAATATTGTCCTATTGACCTTTGGTGCTATGTTTAATGCTAATTTTTTATCAGAATGTCATAGCTTTCCCTTTAAGTGACTTTAAAATATTTACTTCTACTCTTACAAGTGACTTTATCATAGCACAATGCCAAGAATTTTTGGGCAGAACACATTTCTAATTTCGTACAGGAAATCCCTGGGAAAGAAGGGCTCACTTAGGAGTGTTCTTGAGACACATCCGGTGGGTCACATTCCTGAACCTGTCTCCCTGAACCGGCCCTCAGCTCTGCAGCCACCGCCCACATAGGCTCTCATCTGCTCTGAGCCTCCCGCTGACCTGGTCACTCTCCTTTGTGAAACTCAAAGACAGTGGCATCAGAAAACAGAGCATGCACTGCAGACGGGCCAACTGACAGGAAGGGAAAAGTGAACGGGGCCACACGCAGGACCGGCGGTTCCTGTATGAGCGCCCCCAGAAGGGCCTGTGCTCACAGCCACCCACAGGCTGCAGGCGCTGACCAGGGTGGCCATGCGCAGCTTCTCTCCCTCAGACAGTCCTGAACACACAGGGCCAGTATCTTCTGAGTGCCTCACACGGCACCCTTGTGGGAGCACATGACGCTCACGCATCTGCCACCTAGTTAGAAGGACTCCGCACTCAAGGACCCTGCAGGTGTGGCCGCCCACTGTCCTGAGACGGATGCGTGAACCTGTCCTCACATCCCTCTCACCCTCCAGCAGACCTGGCTTCTGAGACAGTCTGCAGGACAGCTTGCCGATCCTTTCGTTTTCTGCATTAATGGCTTTCTGAATTTCCTGTATCTCCTTCTTTCTGGCCAGAGGAAGCTCTTCGATTTTCTCTTTTGGTTCCAGCTCGTTAAAGCTATCATCATCTCCATCACAAACCTCAAAGTCATCTTCGTAATCCTAAAAACAATAATCACAGTTTTGGAACCTTTAGACAAACTGACTTTAAAGAACACACATACAGAACAGAACAAACAATTTAGAATTTAAAACAGACAAAATGCTCATTATGGCTAAGAAAGATTTTTACAGTTAACGGACACTAATGCCACTGAGTTATAGATCTGTATAAACTGCTGCCTTTTTCTCTAAAAATGAATCACACTGTATAGATTTACATACACTGACAGGTGTCAGTAACAAAAACGTGCTAACATTTTTGTGCTAAGAATGTGACAGTGTGTGTGTGTGTGTATGTATGTGAATATATGTACCCTATACACACACAGATATCCATTCCAATACAAACATACATGTTTGGATGCAGTGCACTTAATAGGTTAAATTGTAAAATCATTTAATTACATTGCATTGGTAAGCACTGATAGTGTAGCACTTTTTACTGGCAACAAACCTAAATGAAACAGATATAGAGTATTAAGAGTAACAAAAAGAGAAATAAAGCTATTAAGTTAATATAATTAAGCAGATTTTAGAACAAATTATTTTTAAGCCAAGAAAAATTTTAACTTTTATACAAACTTCAAAATCATCTTCAAAGCAAGCTGTATATTCATCAGCTCCAGCATTTTCTGAATCAATGTCTTCCTTTTCAATTTCCTAGAGGTAAAAAACACACACACAAAAATTCAATCATAAATTTGAATCTTGCAAACAGGTTGGGAAAATGTTAAGATTAATTTGATGTTGCTAATTTTAAAATGTATTTATAAAACGAACATAATCCAACTTCAAATTCTTTAAGAAATACCTTCCTAAGTGGTAAATACGACCGTAAAGAGGAAAAGTTAATGAACTCATCCTTTCTGAGAAACCACCACAACCCTGATGAGGCGCTAGTGCAGCCCTCTCCTCTTCACTGAGCGGCAGACAAGCTGCGCAAATCCTGGCCCCTCAGAATCAGAGCACACCTGCCCCATCACTCCAGCACTCCAGGCCGGGGAATAAACACAGTGGGAGGGGCGCTCCGTCAGGCTCTGGAGGTGTGGGGAGGCTGCACACATCATTCCCAAAGCCATCCTGGTCTAGGTACCCGGAAAACTGAGTAGAAACAAATTCCAGGTTTCCAGGATAAGAGGGTAGCAGAAATGAAACAGATGTTTAGAAAACTCATATTTTCCCTCCAAAAGCTGTTCCTCTTCTTATCCACATCTGCTCTTGCACGTCACAGGAGCCCCCACCAGGCCCCGACCCTCCCCCACCATCATCCTCAGCCCAGGACCCCCATCCCGGCCACGTCCCCTCTCATTCACTGAAGTTCTTTAGAAAGCATGACTGCACCACACCTGCTTTCACACCCCTGCCGGATGGCCCCCACACACCACACATTCACCAGGGCTCTGGTTCTTACTCTGGAGGGGAAACAGTAAAGGGGAACTCTGGCACCACAGGCAGCATGGGCCTGGGGGGCAAAGGGGCAGGACAACAGTGGCCTGGCTTTAGGGTAAAAAATGACCCCAAGTTTTCAGGGGCGAAAACTGGATGGATGTCAGCACCTCAACCAAAACAGGCAGAGAGGAGGGAGAGGGGGCCTAGGGCGAGAATGTGGTGAGTGTGAAGAGAGACAGGGGCATCCAGGAGAGGACAGAGCTCAGGAAGCGCCCAGTGGCACAGTCCGCCACCTGGAAGTGCATCTTTCATCTCTAGAACCCAGTGCAGTGCTGTGCAGTAAACAATGCCCAAAACCAACGCTTGATGCCACAACCCAGCTGTTCCTCTAAGTGGCTACCTGGTCTGACTTTCTAAATAGGCACATTCTTGTATGCCCAAGGACTGAAAGGATTACTAAGGACACCTCATTGCCTGGGGGTGGGGAAGAGTTATTTTATGCAGATACTTTATAGGAAAAACTGTCCCCTAAAAAAGATCCTTTTTGGCACACTGTCATATAAAGTCCCTGGACATTAAAGTGAATGATGCACACCACATCTACTGCACCAACAGACAGGACACCTGCTAAGTGATAAGAGAAACAAAAACAAATGCTGTGGTTTTGCAGGAGTTTTAAGCAAACCTTGCAGCCTCACACTGCTGAACCCTGTTCCCGTGCACCAGACCCCTGACACACATACCCACAGGGACTCTGCACCACATCCAAGGTGATCCCTCCACTCGGCCAGCAAACGCTTCGCCCCCAGGGTGTGCCAGGCACTCTGCCAGGGGACCACAGGGCTGACACATCACCCTTTGTGGAGCCAGAGCCCAGCCAGGGACGATGACAACAAAGTACCACCAGCAGGGGCTCAACCACCCCTTCCCTGGGGCCTTAAGTGGAGCGCCATGGTGCTTTTCACTCATCAGCTTTGGAAAGAAGTACTCAGAGTTATCAATGATCTCTCCTTAAAAGAAGATAGTGCCATTTCCTTGATCTCCCTAGTTTGGCATATATTTCTGAAAATTACCTATTACCTTGACTCTGTTTCACTGATAATGAATCACATCTTCTGAGATGTCTCTAGTTGGTTTCTTCAATTGTCCTCAACCCGCTCGAATTTAAATTCAGAGCAATGATGAGAAGGCTGGCTGTTCCCTTGGCTGGACCCTCTTCCCTGCCATGCTCTTTGCAAACCCCGCCCCCGCCCCCACGGAGGACGGCCACGGCGTCCAAGCATGCGCACAGTGAGCCAATACTCCTCCAGCCCTCAACAGCACCCCAGACTCTCCAGTGTCACACGGAAACCTATTCACACCTATGCTCTGTGGTCTAAAAGGAGTAATAATTACCCTAATAAACAGGTACTACGAAAGCAAAGAATCACCAGTAAAAGCACACCTTTGGACAGGAGCACCAAAAACGGAAAGATGCGCTCTCCTTACCGCCATTTCTTCTCTCCCATGCCTCTGAGCCAGCTTCCACACGGAGGCACCCTCTTCCCGGATGTGCTGGAAGACAACAGAGCCAGTCAGCCAGCACAGGGAGGGTCTCCAAGGCAATCCCAGAGCCCACCCCACCCCCCACGGAGGCGCTGCCCTCAGTGGTTGAGGACTGGGGTTCTGGCCCCAAGGTATACAAACAAGATCACCGAGGGCAAGTAACCTCGGTGCCTCAGTTTTCTCCTCTGAGAAATGGGCATAACAACAGTACAGTGGTTCCCACCCACAAGGATGCTTGCCAAGCCCCCCAGCAGAGGCCTAAAACTGTGGTCAGTACCAAACCCTATACATACTACGTTTTTCCCTACACATACATACCTATGATAAAGCGTAAAAAATGAACAATAACTAATAATAAAATAGGACAATTATAACGATATACCATAATAAAAGTTATGTGACTCTGGACTCTCTCAATATATCTTACCATCCTGCACTCACCCTTCTCGTAATGACCTGAGATGACAGAATGCCCCCGGGACGAGATGAAGGGAGGTGAGTGACACAAGTGTGTGACGCAGCGTCTGCCTAGCCTGACCTTCTGACGATGCATCAGGGGAGGGCCATCTGTTTCCAGACCCCTGCTGACCACGGGTGTCCAAAACTGCAGATGAGGGGGCACCAGTGGACCTATTTCCTAGTGACAGGGGCAGATAAAGTGACCCTGTGCCGGTGAAGGAAACGCTGATTTCCATTCCTGTTGTGGTCACTGGCACGAGGAAGACCCAAGTCCTAGACACCACTACCCACAACTAGTCAGTGCATAAAACTGGGGACAGGATGGCGTATTACCATGAAGAGAATAAGGAGCTTTCCATGTATCCAGAAAATTACTCTCATGTATGATAGGCTTCTCGTAATGCTGAAGAATTAAACCAAGACAAACTCAGTGTTGATGCTATAAAACAAGTGACCTAATCATAAGCCAAAATGAGATGTCAAGTACCTTCAAGAGTGCTTCAGGGGAAAAATATATCACAAATTTTGCTCTGTTGGCAAGAAAAAGAATGTGAAATATCTTATTGATAATTTTTATATTGATCACATGTTGAAAGAATAATAGTATTCCAGAAATACTGGATTATATAACATGTTATTAAAATGAATTTTGTCTCTTTTTGCTTTTTTAATATGGCTACTAGAGAATTTATAACTATAAATGTGGCTGACATTATAACTCTAATGAACAGCGCTAACCTAGAGCTCATAAGAAGAATTGGGAGACATAAGGAAAACACTATGAAATCTATATATTTTCATCCAACAACTCCAGTTCAAGAATTTATCCACAAAAACTGTGAGGCAGATCTGCATCATTCGAACAATGAATTGGGAAAAACAGGATGCTGCATCAGGGGTGGGAGTGCGTGTGCAAAACAGAAAAAAGGCATCCCCAACTCCCAAATATATACATTAATATACAAGTATAAAAGACTATATAGCAAAAAGATTACCCGGGAAGAAGTTGTCGTAAGGCTAACGTTTGTCCCTAGGTGTGGCTTTAGCTAGATGGTCAGTGATCCAACCACTCCCCAAAACTGAATGAATAAAACATACCCACATCAAAATAACACACACCCTGCGATCAATCTAATTTATGTAAAATTCCATGTGTTTCTGTGTATGCATATGGAATAAAGAGATACACAAAAATATGGCACAAAACGTTAAAGATGATTATCTCAGGGTCATGGGTATCAGATAACTACCAAAGAAAGTGACAGGAAAAATTATTCTTCAGAAATAATGACCCAAATCTGCTTGCCACATTACCTATGATAAAAAACAACAAACTAGGAAAATGGTTGGATGATAATTAACCCCCCAGCGTCAACCACTTCATAGTTACTAAATATTCACTATGAAGACTATTCTGATGTACTATGATGGTAAGAAACACAGACCGGGAACAGCCCTCCACACGCAGGAGACAGTGACACGAGAGGGCAGGACCATGTGTGGTGTGCTGGTGTTGGTAACAAACGTGGGACAGAACTTGCCCATGAAGTCACCGGAGCCTGGGCCTCCCTGCGGGAAGACTAACACTGAGCCAATGTGCTCACCTGCCAGACTTCCGACCTCTTCCGGAGACAGCTGTGGGGGTTCCTGTCTCCAGGAGCTTGTCCCTTCCCCTGAGGGGCATAATGTGCTGCCATGAAATGCTATCGCTCTATCCCCTGGTCAAAGGGGGCACCCTCCATTCCTCCCTTTAATTCCGTATTTTGAGGCTCCTCTGTTAGGTACGTGCTCATTTATAATTGTGACCTCTCCCTGCAAGCTGATTATCACTAGGAAAGGCCCTCCACTTCACTAACATTCCATCTCAGAGTCGATCCTGCTGACACGAGCGCAGCCACTCCAGCTCTGACACAGTTGCCACGTGACGCTTTATCTGGTCCCTTTTTCTACTTTCAATCTATTTGAGTCTTTTAATCTAAATGTGTCCACTATGTCCTCCTGGAATTACCACTCAAATCAGCCCATCTGCAGGCAAGGCCTGTCTCAGGCTCTGCTTTCCAGGGCATCACAAACTGAGACTCATGGCTAATCTTGCTGCAAAATAAAGTCAACATAAATGTCTTACCTTCCTTCTTGAGTCTTTATCTTTTCCATTATTTCTTACTAAATTCTCTGCATACCTAGAAAGTATGATCAAATTTAAAATTAATTTCAAACAAAGACTTGAAACATAAAGCATTTTACACTTCAGCAAAGGCTCTTATCAGTGTCTGACAGGTCTCATTACAACTGTGGATACTAAAGTCTTCCTACATTGTTGGTATTTCAGCAGCAATCCAAGAAAGAAAACAGCCTCAGCAGAGAGAAGAAACTACATGTTTTGACAAAGTTGTATGTGTGTATGACTCTCTATCCTTATGAGACTTCTAGAACACTCCTGTAATTTTATTAGTCAATCCCAAAAAAAGAATGAGATCCTGCCATTTGCAGTAACATGGATGGAGTGAGAGAGTATTGTGCTAAGTGAAATGAGTCAGTCAGAGAAAGACAAATACCATATGATCTCACTCATATGTGGACTTTAAGAATTGAAACAAACGAGGAAAGGGGAAAAAAAGAGAGGCAAACTAAGAAACAGACTCTTAACTCCAGAAAACACACAGCTGGTGACCAGAGGGGCGGGGGGTGGGGGGAGAACAGGGGAATCAGGATATGGGGATGAGCACCACGTGGTGCATGGATGTGCTGAATCACTACACTGTACACCTGATACCAACATTACACTGTATGTGAACTACACTGGAATTTAAATAAAAACTTAAAAAAGAAATCTAGAGCTTATGTACAAAATGAGATTTTACATACAAACTCTAATCTGTGATCTTCACAAAACCCACACAAAACAGGTACTGTTACTAGACTTTTACCAGCAGAGAAAGAGCTCTGGAGGGCTGCCCAACACGCCCGGTAGAGGCAGATGTGCCGTTCCAGCAGGCTGCTGTCCATGCCCTGGCTGTGGCTAGACAGACTTCCTCTGTTGTCCGCACCCTGACTGATCGGGGCACCGGTGGCAGTGAAAGGGGTGGGAGCCCACCTGCAGAAACTCCGCCCTCTCCAGGTATCAAGTGCTACAGGGCTGGAACCGCCTCTCACACACTCACACCCCAAAGTGAGTACTGATCTCCAAGTTCATGTGAGTAAATATAAAACAAGCAAAATAGGACTAAGAATTTATAAAAAGTTCCAAGCTCCTCAGGTGCACCTAGAATATAATTTGGAGGGGCTGTATCAAGAGTAAATGAAGTGTATCTATAATTCATTCTCATTTACTGGCTATAATCAGGCCCCGTAAGAAAGACTCATGTTCAAACATTCTACAAGAAGCACGGGGCACACAACAGTCACCAGAGAACGCACGTTCCTTCCCGGCTGCCAATGGGATCTCTCCTTGAACTTGCACCCCGGTTTCGTTGCTCACTGTTCTATGAAACAAAAAAATTCCATGACACTCATTAGCATATCATAATGAAGTCACTGTAATTGTAAACTCTGTACAACAAGCATGGACTCCAAATTTAACAAAAGCATCGACACCACAGGTGTTACTGTTTTTGACCAGCTACCTTCAACCAATTACATAATTAATGCAAGGAAGATGAGTAAAGGTATACTAAAAGATGATTATACGTTATCTCCGTAAGTAAAAGACATTTCTATTTATCAATTTCACATTACTTTTAGATAAATCTGACTAGTTCCTTACACTGCTTTAAAATTACGAACTTTCAAACATAATGTGGCTATTTCATAGATCCATCCACCTATAGAAAAGAAAATTTAAACAACTGATTTATAAATTCTACTTCTATAATTCTCTTGAATCAAGTGAATTTGTAAAAATAAAATTAAAACCATCAGATTGCAAGCCAAGAAATCCAGGTAGGTGGTTTAAAGAAAGAGGCATCTATTGAGCAAGTACTGGCTGGAAGCATGGCCTAGAGGGAGGGGCATGAGGCCGGAATGTGACAGGTGAAGACCCCAGGGTACCAGGGCAAGTGCTCCCTAGGACAGAGAAAGCTCACAGACCTGGGGACTGATCCATGAAGATAAAGAGTGCAGAGCAGAAAAGGCAGGACTAAATGACCCACCAAGAAAGTCCAGAGAGCAATACACAACGTGTACCAAAAGCCTTAAAAACAGTTAAAAATATGGCCCTTCTTTTCACTACATCTGTGTCTTTGGGGTAAATACCCAGGAGTGCAATTGCTGGGTCATTGGGTAGCTCTATTTTTAATTTTTTGAGGAACCTTCACACTGTTTTCCAAAGTGGCTGTACCAACTTGCATTCCTACCAATAGTGTAAGAGGGTTCCCCTTTCTCCACAACCTCTCCAACATTTGTTGTTTCTTGCCCTGTCAATTTTTGCCAGGTGTAGGGTGGTATCTCAATGTGGTTTTAATTTGAATTTCCCTGATGGCTAATGATGATGAACATTTTTTCATGTGTCTGTTAGCCATTTGTATGTCTTCTTCAGAGAAGTGTCTGTTCATGTCTTCTGCCCATTTTTTGACTTGATTATGCTAAATGAAGTAAGTCAAGCAGAGAAAGTCAATTATATGGTTTCACTTATTTGTGGATCATAAGGAATAGCATGGAGGACATCAGGAGAAGGAACGGAAAAATGAAGGGGGGGCGTAATTGGAGGGAGAGATGAGCCATGAGAGGCTATGGACTCTGAGAAACAAACTGAGGGTTTTAGAGGAGAGGGTGGGGGGATGGGTTAGCCCGGTGATGGGTATTAAGGAGGGCACATATTGCATGGAGCACTGGGTGTTATACACAAACAATGAATCATGGAACATTATATCAAAAACTAATTATGTAATGTATGGTGACTAACATAACAAAATTAAAAAAAAAAACAGTTAAAAATATTCACTTTCTTTCATCTATAAATACTTCTAGGAAATTATTCCTAGAAAACAATCAAAGACATGTATTAAGGCTTTCAATCTGTTTATCACCAAATAATTTATGAAATGAAAAAAATATTAGTAACCTGAATGTTCCATATTAGGTTGCTTGTTAAATAAATAAGGTTATGACCACATGAAAGAGTACCAGATAGCCATTAAATACCCAATTATTAAAAAGTATTTCCCAGGGGCGCCTGGGTGGCTGAGTCGTTAAGTGTCTGCCTTCGGCTCAGGTCATGATCCCAGGGTCCTGGGATCGAGCCCCGCATTGGGCTCCCTGCTCTGCAAGAAGCCTGCTTTCCCTCTCTCACTCCCCCTGCTTGTGCTCCCTCTCTCGCTGTGTCTCTCTGTCAAATAAATAAATAAAATCTTTAAAAAAAAAAAAACTATTTCCCAGAATACCGTGAAAAAAATGCCATGATTCCAATTTTGCGTTCATTTACATATGGGAAAAAGAATTGTAAGTATGTACACACTTATTACAAAATGGATTATCTCTGAGATCACAGATAAATTTTGTTTTTGTTTTTTTATTCTTCCTGTATTTAAAATTTTTTCCAAAATTAATTGGAGAAAAGTATAATTACATGTTTAACAGGAAGAGCAGTCTGGCATCAGTCTGTCAAATAGATTGGAATGGGGGAAAAAATGAAATCGGTCCTGCCAGGTAGAAAAAATTATGATTTAATGGCTATCTAGGTACAAAGAAGAAGAAGAAAAAGTAATCATGAACAGCTCAGTGCCTTGTTCCCAAGCCGTGTGGGCTGGCCAGGAGGGTGCTGGGCTAGAAACAGATGCCCACAGGGACCTGTGAAGTCACTATCCCAGAAGCAGAGAGGGGCAGGGTCCATGTTCAGCATCCCAAAGAGGGATCATCACGCAGGATTCTTCTAATAAATAACTAGAAGACACTTTGTTATAGTTATTATGCTTAATCATGCCCTCTCCATCCCTAATGGAAAACTGGAGTAGGGGGCACCTGGCTGGCTCAGTCAGTAGAGCACGCGACTCTTAATCTCAGGGTTGTTGAGTTTAAGCCCCATGTGGGGTGTGAAGCCTACTTAAAAAAAAAAAAGGAAAGGAAAGGAAAGAAAAAACTGGAGGAGGTACGCAATTAAAATAACAGATCAAAAATCATACAAAGAGGGATGTTTGGATGGCTCAGTCAGTTAAGCGTCTGCCTTTGGCTCAGGTCATGATCCCACGGTCCTGGTATCAAGTCCTGCATCGGGCTCCCTGCTCCTCCTCCCTCCATCTGCCCCGCCTCATGCTCTCTTTCTCGCTCTCTCTCCCAAATAAATAAATAAAATCTTAAAAAAAAAAAAATCACATAGAGAAAGTGAGAGAGAACAAAGGAGAACACAATCCCGGGGAACAGTCCTGGTTTGTACCCGTGGTCCCAGCATAGTTATTAATAGTGCCCCCTTGTACTTTATGGTCACCTCAGCAGCAACCACATCAATCTCCAGGCTAGCATAATAACTAAGTTAAAAAGCATATTTTGAGTATCTGAAAGTCCAGGCAAAGAAAAACGTTAAACACATAATGTTCACTAATCACTCCGATATACTGTATATGCATTTGTTTCTTTCTTTATATGGCTTCTCCAGTGAAATGTAAGCGCCACAAAAATAAACACTTTTGGTCACAGCCGTGTCCTCAGCATACGGAACAAAGGCCAGCACAGAGTAGCCCCTCCACAGATAGGAACAAATTATCAAAAAAAAAAAAAAGTTGGTCATCCATCAGAAGAGTCTCTCAGGGGGGACTAATTATTATGTTAATCCTCATGGAAGGAGCATTGTTGAAGGCAGTGGTTCTATTAACAAGGGCTATTTCTTATATCCAGCGTTAATAAAAGCCAAATGTGTATATTGTGACAAGACTCAGAAAGGCATTTCTGTGGGAAACCAAACAGGCTGTGTTTAGTCACTAAATTTGACCTAGGGAATGTAAAATGGGCAAGTTTATTAAAATGTTAGTGGTAGGATCTAGGTGGTGGAAACTTGTCAACTTTGCTGTATGTTTAAAAATGTTCCTAATAAAAAATTGGGAAAAACACACTAAAAAGATTCTGATCTAGGGAAAGAGATTTAAAACACAAGAGGAACACACACCTGTCTGTGAGGGTCCATTCTCAATTCCTGGTCCCTAAGCTCGTTGACACTGTTAGCAAGGGAAACAGTCCAGGGGCTCAAGATACACATGTGTATGTGGTTAACAAAACTGCTGCTGTCAGATGACATATGTCCTGACCATGGGCAGAGGTTGCAGGTGCCAGGGTGGGGGCCTGTGACGGTCCTGCTGTGAGAGAAGGTGTGGGCAAAGGCACTGGAGGCGGCAGGTGCAGAGGTGATTTATCACACTCGGCAAAGAGGCAGCCAGGATGGGCACAAGGCCAGGCAGCAACTGCAAAGATTTTTCAGGACATTCTTAACCAACCCTCCTTAAAAACACTTACACATACTTTCATGGATGGGCACCAGTCAATCAGAGGTCCCAGTCTCTGCCCCTGAAGGCCTGACCCTCCTGAGCCTCACAGCACCTGACCCTCACTTTGCTTGCACCTGAAAGGGAGCACCACTGAGAAACAGGAGAATGAAATCCCTTTGCTTCAGAGTCTGGAAAAACAGCACAGCAAAAAGTATATACATGAGAACAAAAGATACAATTAGTATAGGAAAATATTGAGCAATGGCAGTTATTTTATCAATAGACACGGCAGGAAAATTAGACCCTTTGCAATCAATAGTTTTATTTTTGTGTTCTGTTTTGTAAACCTACACTACTAATTCTGATTCAAACATTTTGCTGTATTATTAATTTACTTTCCACTTAATATCATCTTCAAAATTTCAATTTCATGATAGATTTCTGAGTATATGTTAAAAGTACATTTGGAGGGGGAGACGAACCATGAGAGACGATGGACTCTGAGAGACAAACAGGGCTTTAGGGGAGGGGGGTGGGAGGACGGGTTAGCCTGGTGATGGGTATTAAGGAGGGCACGTTCTGCGTGGAGCACTGGGTGTTGTGTTATACGCAAACAATGAATCATGGAACACTACATCAAAAATGAATGATGTAATGTATGGTGACTAACATAATAAAATTAAAAAAACATAAATAAATAAAAGTACATTCACAATATAATCAGAAAATCTGGCTTCATATTTCCTACTGTATCAGCAATTTCTCTGTATCGATCACATTACACAGACTTGGATCACGTTTCTACGAAGGCAACAAGTCTTATCCTCTGGCTACAGAGAGAAAAAACTCTTCTAAGAGTGCCAGCCTCAGGGTGACTACAGAGGCCACGAAGCATCAGAAACGGTACCTTGGACTCTCTTTTCTTAAGGTCTTCTCTCGACAACCTCTCTTTTTTAGCTGTGTTACTCTGGCGCCTCTCTTCATCGAACTGAAAACCTTCCTTGTGTCGTTTTTCCTTCTGTCTTTCTTCCCCCTCCTTGTCAGAAAAGGAATTACTTTTTTCTTTTGGATACTTTTCTCTTTTTTCCCTTGTGCTGCTTTTTTCTCCATGTTTCCTTTCTCGATCTGGTTCTTTCTGCTTCCTGTGTCTCCTTTCACCTTCTTCTTTATACAGCCAGTACTTAAGAGGATTGTCTTTACTGTCACCGTACTGCAGCTTTGATTGGGACAGATGGAAAAACACATGAGCATATGAAACGTGGGCTGCCATCCTTCACACGTGCGCGAAGCTACACTGCACTCACTCCTCTACCCTGACTCGAAAGATGTGCTTCTGGAAAGAAAAACCCGCTGCTGGCCACACAACCCACTGGGTAGTGGCTACTTTGCACTCCTGCCTTCACCCTGATGTGGAAAACCACGAGCAAACTCCTCAGCATGGCAAGTATGCCCCCGTCCTCCACAGCCCGTCCCTGTCACTCCTGTCACCTTCTCCCCAGCTGTGAATGCGTCCTGCACTCCACCAACCCTAGTCCCTCCTGTGAGATGTGTAACCTCTGTGAGCAGAGCACCACGCACCCTACCAGCCTCTGTCCTTGGCAGTTCACGCATCTGCTCCCCCACAGGGAGATTCCTAAAACCAGGCACCACTGTGTAGTCATCTCTGATTACCCAAAACCACTGTGGGTGCTCAGTAATAAGTGGTGACATCCATCACATGGTGACGCACAGCTCTTTGCAGAACATGCTGCTGACATGTCATATTTTTGGCTCAGACTCACAGTTTTGGGAGCATCATCAGTATGTCTCAACTGAACCCCAAATGGAACTGCCCTTTCCTCCCACCGAGGGCCTCCTCTACTCACACCCAACAGTGGGTCACTGCTCGCCCTCCAGCCACAGGGCCCTTACCTCCTTCTCGGCTTAGTCCCCATGGATCCCACTCCTGCCACCACCCCCCACCCCGTGGCTGCCCAGCAGCCTCCTGACTCCTCTCCTTCATCTGATTCCCACCCACTCTGCTCATCTCTGCCAGGATAACCTTCCTAAAGAAAAACGTGCTGGCAAGCTCCATGACCAAACTCCTCAGTCGTAAAGTTAGATTACTACTACATACCTATCACCAAAATCAATTCTATGGGGATTAAAGATTTAAGTGTTAAAAAAATTATAAGGACCCAAAACAAAATACAGGCAACTACTTACGTAATCCTGGTGTGGGGAAAAGGCTCTCTGAGCATTACATCAACAACCAAAACAAGGAAAGACAGACCTGACTACCTCATAACTTTAAACTTACTAATAAAAACAAAGATCCCACAAACAAAATTCAAAACATAAATGGAAACAGAAATAACTAGCAGGGAGTTCATCTTGAAAGTACTCTTAGAATAAATGCTCCATTAGGAAAGTAAGCAAACATGCAGAGGGGATAACTAACAACAGGGCAGTAAACCCTTTCATAAAATGTTCAGAAGTGTTCCTTTGTTCTGAATCAAATTAGCAAAGATTAAAAATTATGATCATGCCCAATTGCTGCTTTGGACATGGCAAATTACACTCTGATGATATAAATAATTACAGCTTTTCTGTACAGCAAATGGGGTAAGTTTACATTTACTTTCAACTAGCAAATTCATTTCCAGAAATTAATCATAGGAAAATAATTATGAATAAATGCAAAAACTTTACCCCATGGATGTCCTTATAATAAAAAAAATTGAGAAGCAACCTAAGTGTCCAAAAAAAAAAAGCAGATGTACCAAGAAAATTGACACACCCATATCATTATATTGTACAGCCATTAATATTATACAGAAATATGACTTAGAAAAATGTTCCAAGTGTATCCAGTTTAAAGTTCATAAAAGAGGGGCGCCTGGCTGGCTCAGTTGGTTGGGCGACTGCCTTCGGCTCAGGTCATGATCCTGGAGTCCCGGGATCGAGTCCCACATCAGGCTCCCTGCTCAGCAGGGAGTCTGCTTCTCCCTCTGAACCTCTTCCCTCTCGTGCTCTCTGTCTCTCATTCTCTCTCTCTCAAATAAATAAATAAATAAATAAATCTTTAAAAAAAAAGTTCATAAAAGAGTAAAAATCCAATTTAAGAAAACAAATATGTATATATACACAAATGCATATGTAAACCTACTCTGTTAGGATATATACTTAAATATTATCAATAATCATCTTGGGGTGGAATTTGTTTTTATTTTCTTCTTACTATTTATTTGTATTTTCTAAATTTTCCAAAACCACCATGTGTTCCTCCTGGAAAGAAAACAACACACGTGTAAGGAAAAGTGGCTGAGAACTTCCTCAGACCTTGCATCCTGTGTGACAACACTTTCCAAAAATGCTTCTACTAACAATGCAAGAACAGGCTGTACTCTGCAGACTCTGGAGAGCCCTTTCTGGGTTTCCCACGTACCTTTCTTTCTCTGTACCGTCTTTCTCTCTCCTCGTGCCCCCTCTCAGGGTCTTCAACTCTCCTCTCCTTCTCTTCCGTTCTCACTCTGCTTACTACAAAAATAGAACATATTTTTGACATTTCCAAACGTCAGCACATCAGAATGACCTAACATCTTGCTGCAGTCTTTACTGTACATATTGCATCATTATATAATATATGTTAACACATATGAAAACATATTCTTCAATTAAAACACATCCTTCAATATCAAGCATGAGAAGTCCTAGAATCTAAACTTAATATGGGCTAAGGAGGGAGACCGCAATGGCAACTGAAGCAATCTGGAAAAGATCCGACTGACCCCCTGGAAACTCAAGAGGGGCACTAGCCCACACACACGCCATCAGAGTGCCTGGCCACTGACCGAGGTGCTCAGGGAAGCAGAGAAACAAAAAAGATATTATTAGAAATACATATCAAGAACATCAATACAATAACCGTGAAAAGAGGCAATGGAGAGTAAGGTAGTTGCTGTTAAACATGCCGAGTGGTGACCCCATTAACCCATAATCCCACCCCTAAGTACACTTTACCCAACAAAAATACACACTCACGCCCCAGGAGGTGCCCTGCTTCTGGGCTCCGTTGCAGACCCGGGCAGCGGCCTCGGGAACAGAAGGCAACCATGGTAAGAGGGGACGTGAACAAGGGGCCGTGGTTTCCGTCCTGTTCATGACCAGGACCTCAAGCCTTCGTGACAAATCTAAGAATTACTATGTATTCTTTAAGTATATTCTTTTTGTTTACATTAGCTAGTTAGAATTTTTTAGAAAAACATATACTATTTGTACAGTAAAAAAATGACGATACTTACATGGGGGGAAGTATGCACATTTATCTTAGAATTCCTGGGAATTAGATAAAAATATTTAAATCTTGCTTAGAATAAAACTGACACTTTTGGGGAATTCTTCTAATTAAAGAGCATTATTTTCAGATATTTACAATGTGGACTGAGCTTTAGCCAGGTAGTCTAAAATGTGCCTTAATAGTAAAACTGTAGCAAATATTGAGAAAATTGTTACTCCTTTCATTCACTGAGTTTTTAAAATGTCAAAAAAAAAAAAAACAGTGAAAAGTACATACATACCTGCACACACACACAACAGAGGCCTATACCCTCAAGGTCAAGCTAAGACATTTATGAAAATCATGAAAGAAAATACGACGAGCGAGCCTTGCAAGACAGGGAAATGCCCCTGAGCACTAAGCTCTTTTATGGAGAGATACAGACAAGATGCAGCCACCAGCCACGCAGTGTGCCTCCGAGGGAGTATGGAGCTGCACCAGCTGCAAAGGTTCCACAGCGGAAACACGCACCTGCTCGCGTCTCGCGTTCTGCTCTGTCCAGGAGCGGCCGGCCCAGCGGGTCATGGCAGGCAGCCGTCCGCCTGAGCTCCTCCCTCTTAGCTCTGCGGTCTCTGCCCTTGTCCCTGTCTTTTCCTTTACTGTGAGACTTCTCCGTGTCCTGTTCTCGGTATTTCTCTTTATGCCTTTCTCTGTCCCGGTCTCTGGAGTACTTTTTCCTTTCCCTTTGCTTTTCTCTTTCTCTGTCCCCATGAGGGTTCTCCCTGGACACGTGGCCATCTCTCTCGCCAGGCCTCTCTCTGTACTTGCTGTCTCGGTCTGGGTCCCTGTGCTTGGGCTCTCTGTATTCAGGGAGGTCCATTTCTGACTCCTTATGCAGCTTCTTTTCTCTGTGTTTCTTATCTTCCTTGGGACTACCTGATTGTGCAGCCTAAACCAAGAGAAAAAAAGCAGAATTTGGAATCTGAGTCATACTCAATGAGGGGTCTTAACACTAGCTGCAACTGCTTTCCATCCCAGCAAGATGGGCCTGGAAGAAGAGTCTCTGAATACGAAATCAGACTGAGCATTTCTATGACTGGCAATGGGCATCCATTTATTAGAGACATTCGCATCTGCTGGCAAGTCAAATCTGTACTACATGGAATAGAAAGAAAAAGAAAGGAATACTGAAGCTATATCTTAAAGTCTCTGAGACACCAACAGCCTGGGTCCAACTCAAAGAACAAGGACTGACCAGCCCCTCACCCCTATAAAATTCTCAGGAGGTCTTGATCTCAACCCGTTAACCCCAGTTACTTTACCAGCAAAAATGGGTTTATTTGGGAACGGCAGAGAATTGCAATCTGGGACAATTACACTATGGCAAAACCATAGGTGATTCTGCAGAACAAAGGAGAGGAGGCTCTTTTACAGAGGAGAGGGGGCACTGGGAGGGGCTGCATTAATCTAAAAGTCTGTTGGTGTTAACTTGGAGCTGGGAAGTGTAGTGGCTTCTCGCTGGCTGAGCTGTTGCCAGGGCAGGAGGAAACCTTCCTTTCTCCTTCTGGGATAGTAAAATAGTATCCACTGGGAGATGCATCTCTCCCTGTTGGGTCTGCAGTGGACAGTGGACTGGTAGAGCCTGGGCGCTGCCCTTTCTGGCCTCCCAACTCCAATGCAAAGGAGGATTTTCCTTTTACTCATTTTCTCAGCCCAAAGTTCCCTCCACATACACCACACACACAGACACATGCACACACATACATGCACATAGACACACATAAACACACACATGCAAACTTACCACACAGATAAACCACACACATGTGCACATACCACACACACATACATGCACACACACACCACACACATGCACTCAATGCACACCACACACATACATGCACACCCCGACACATATGGCCCAAGCCCTGACCCGTAACAGAAACCTGATGGAGCTGCTGGGATGCTGGGCTGAGCAGGGCAACCCTGTCCCACCACAGTTCCAGACCTATTAACCATACGGCTTTATCTCTGAGTCAAAAACACTTCTGAAATGAGCCACACAGAAGCAAAGCTGAGAAGCAGGTAAAACTGTCCAAGAAACCGTCCAAGCTCCAAAAGGACCCCAACTCAAATCTTTAAGATACAGTACCAAAAGATGTTTTCTGAGGTCATCTGCTTTCCAAGTATCATCTTTTGTTCTTCTCTAAAAAGAAAAGTATAAAGTTAGAATTTTTAAAGTTTAAAAAACTAACTTTGTACATTCTAGTGAGCTGCTTTTTCATTAGGTCATTTAAGTCAATGGCAAATAGTCCTTGACATGCAAGAAATTACTACCCACTAGAAAAAAAGGTAATAGTAATGCAAATTTTAAAAAACTATTCCCTAGTCTAAGATTATCTATAAACAATTATAGAATGTGTTCCTCTGGCTACTTTATAAGTGTAGGTAAAACACACTCCCCACTCTCCACCTTCCATGTCACCAACGCCTGTCAGTGCCCAGTCCCACTGCCCAACAGTGTTTCTGGCTGCCAACGGAGGAGATGCCCCTGGAGTGTCCCTACCTGGCAGGCTGCGCCCCGCCCCCCTCACCCCCAGGTACTGAGCATGCAGCAACATGACTCCTCCATAAGTGCATACACAATTCACCTGCCACATACAAGACAGATTTAGATAATGAGGAAACTCACTAAGCACATCAATCAAGGATGTTTCCTATAGACAACATGGTAGATTTATCCAGATTAGTTCACTTTCCCTTTGAGAAACACTGCTTTGAGGGTACAAAAAAAGTAAGATTTTTTAAGTTTCAGATTTAAAGCAAATGTAGTACAAATGAAAAACAAAAACTTATTCATGGATAAGCCACCAAAAATCTTCCTGGTAATGTGAAAGTTAAGGAAACAGAAAAACAGTTCACAATAGTTCATAGATACTAACTAAAAATAAAAAGCAATCAATTATAAGAATCTAGCCAACGCATACTATAACCACAAAATTTACTGTAATCTACTATAATGAGAAAACGTATTTTTTGATAAATTGGTTGACTTAACAAAATGGGTCCTCAGCAAGATATGGTGTAAGATGATCAGTAGCAATTAGCATAGTTATAACTTATAGTTTCTGAACATTAAAAATTTTTGTCTCAAGTTCACTGCTCTGTGTAGAGGTTTAACATAGGACCTTTTCTGAACAAATGGTCCAAACTCAACAGAGAGCTCGTGTGCCCCTGAGGACAAGAGCTAGAGACCCCTACAGAGTGGAAGGGCACCAGCCAGGGCCCATGGACTGGGCCTCCTCCTAGATGTAATTACATGACTTATGCTCACAGGTAAAAACCCTGCAGGCAACAGTTCTCTGGCAGACCACAAGATCTTCCTTCTGCCCTTTTCATCAACCCAGCTTTGGGCCCTTGAAAATCAGGCAAATGGCCTTGCTCACCCCCTAAAGATTTTTTTTCTTTTTTTCTCTTTTAAATGTCTTATGTCATTTAAAAAATTAATGGTTTAGGGGCGCCTGGGTGGCTCAGTTGGTTAAGCGACTGCCTTCGGCTCAGGTCATGATCCTGGAGTCCCCGGATCGAGTCCCACATCGGGCTCCCTGCTCAGCAGGGAGTCTGCTTCTCCCTCTGACCCTTTTCCCTCTCGTGCTCTCTATCTCTCATTCTCTCTCAAATAAATAAATAAAATCTTTAAAAAAAAAAAAAAAAATTAATGGTTTATGTTATAAAATAACACACAGTTCCCTCATGCCCTATCCCAGCCCTCACATGTCACATGTATTTTTAGGAACTCTGCGTACATATGTGTGGACAGAGTGCTTCAGACCAGGAGCCTTTTGTCTTTTTTACCCTCCACTCTCTTAAAGACCAAATTCACCAGCATTTCAGCCCCTGCCCTGTGGAACAGAGACACCAGTTAAACTCTGGTCTCTCCAAGTACAGAATAGAAAGGCAGCGCTTCCCCCTATAAGGGGAATAAACCCCACTCTGAAAACAAAAGAGGGGAGCTGCCTACACAGCAAACCCTTCAAGCTACAGGATTACTCAGTCCACACACAGGCAAACCTGAGAATTCAACTCCATGGAGGTCAATGTCCACACCAGGTGACCCCGGGCTGCGTGTCCGCTGCATGTAAAATGAGCAACTCCAGAAAAAGCCCCAGCGCAGCCGACCAGCATCTCACATGAGCCACCTGGTGAGCCGGCTCAATGATGCCCATTTACCACGAGGCTCTCTGAAGCCCTGTGCGGGGAGAGCCTTAGACAGCCTTCATGGTGCTGTCCGTCTGCCCCTAGAGTACAGCAGGACTTCAAAGGAATTCTCTGCGCTTCTCCTCCACCTCATGCTGACACCCCAGGAGGAGGCTGTGGGAGCACGGACACCTCACCCACCATCCTTTCCAGAGGCAGAAGCTGCAGAACAGCTCCTCCGGGGCCAGGGTCCTTTTCCGTCATTACGCTATGTACTGTTTATTCTTGAGCCAGACTCAGAGTCTCACTCTTGGGGTCATGCTCCGGGCCTGTTATCCCCAGTCACCCCTCTAGCCCCACTTCCCTATTCCCAAAAAGCAGTTTCCCCAAAGCACATAGATCCCGGAACATCATGCCTGCCTCCAAACACCACCCAACCCAGGAGCTTCCAGGGTGTCCTGGATTGGCAGCACTGTGCAGCCACCAGATGCCTTCAACACCCAGCACCATCTCGGCTGAGCAAACACTCACTCGCTTGCCGAATGTTAAAGCTAAATGCCAGCTGAACCCGTTAGTTGCGTGTTAATAAAGGGTTAAAAGTGCGAAGTTGTTTTGTTTTCCACAAATTGTTCGACAACAGCTGCCACAGCTCCTGACACCTGGGGGCTACGCACCCTTGCCCTCAGCATCCTGGTTGCCGGTCGCTGTGGCTGGGCTGCATGCCAAGAGTGGCCTGGTGGACAGGGCACTGACATTCCAGTCTCAGATCAGATGCAACCCATCAACAAGTCCTACTACTTCTCGTAACATGTTTCCTAAAATGAAAGAAATCCATTCTTCCTGTCCAGTCCCACTGCCCCAAACCCAACCCAGACTTTCATGCCATTGCAGTCACATGGTCTGTGTCTACAGCACCACTGGTCAACCCAGTTCAGAGCACGCAGAGGTGGTGTCCCTCATGGCAAGAATGCCCAGAATTACAGGCTGGAATGAGCAGGGACACTGGAGGCCACAGAAGGTGGCCTCCCAAGCCCACAGAACAACAGACCAACTAGTGCATTTGCCAAAAGATGCAAAGAGGGGAGGCTGGCTCACACACAGCTTTAGGATTGAGACATAATTTACCTTTGGCTGTCTTTTTCAAAATTACCCCTTAATGCTAGAAAATGTTTTATATTATAAATTCGATTACTTAGAAACAAATTATTGGCTGCTCAAGTAATCAGGTAAACTGGATTACTGATTGTTCCACGGCTAACCCTCTAATCCCTGCTTGTCAGCACACCACAGGCACACTGCCTGGCTGAGGACGTGCAGGTCGTTTCTAACGTTCCAGATGACAGACTCTACGCTGTGGACGCGTGCACCTGCAAACAAGAGCCCTAATGTGCAGATGCTGCACCAGGCACAGGACACCTAAGCTCAGATGGCACTGAGTCTGACTTGCAAGGGGGAGGCTGACCGCAGACTGAGTCCTTTCTGGAGCTGACTGCAGATTAGCAGTGTGGGGAGAAGGTCCAAGACAAACAGCCGACAGCAGGGGACAGCTGAGCTCCATTCCCATCTGTGCAGGGGTGGCTGGGCATGTTAAACGGAGCAGCTGGGGAAGAGAAAATCACGCAGGGATGGTCAGCATAAATGCAGCCAGGCCAGACACATAAGTGTCTGCAGGCTGGCAGCTCTGGAAGTCAGGAGCCTACCTTCCCATAGAGACCTGGAGGCAGAGGCCTCATCCTTCCTGGGGATTCCAGTTGCAGGATGGCTTTCAGGTCCTACAGAGAAACACTCCTGGGTTGTAGAGACACACAGACATCTCAGGGACAAAGGAAGGATGCAAAACTGTAAATGCACTAGAAAGGGAGGGGCAGGCCTATCCAGGTGCTGACCAAACACACTGCCATTCTGACAGCCCTGGGCTTTGCCAGACAGGAACTCAAAGGGGGCTGGGTCATCACAGGGACCTAAGGCTTTAGGCTGTCAGAAGCCCCTAAATGTTAGTCAGTTTTCTTCATGCAGGAGAACCTTGTAAGTGGGTTAGTAAGGACCAACTCTCCAAGAGCCCAGGGTATTTGCCCTAGAACATGCAGCCTTTCCAAAAACAGAATGAAGCAGCACTGCACCGACCTAAATAGTTAACAGCAGTTAACAGTGAATGGCTGTAACACAGCAACTGAAATTTCATATCTACATTTAAAAAGACAAGAAATTTATTTTATTCTAAGGATAAACTAAATACAGATATATATATTTATCTATATATATGTGTGTTTATACCTTTTAAGCTATGATTAATAAATTTCATGATAATAAACTCACACATTACCAATTGTTTGGTATGTAACAGAAAAAATTAGAAATTTCTAAAATTATCATTGAGCATAGAAATTAATAAAAGTCAAACACTGGAAGCAAGGTAAACTAAAATGTTTTTAAAGAACTAACACTGGGGGCGCCTGGGTGGCTCGGTCGGTTGAGCATCTGCCTTCGGCTTGGGTCGTGGTCCCAGGGTCCTGGGATTGAGCCCCGCATTGGGCTCCCTGCTTGGTGGGAAGCCTGTTTCTCCCTCTCCCACTCCCCCTGCTTGTGTTCCCTCTCTCGCTGTGTCTCTGTCAAATAAATAAATAAAATTAAAAAAAAAAGGAACACTGAAAACTCACTACCTTTATCAAGCAGGTGTAAAGTCAGCAAACACACTATTAAGTTTTATTTCCTATAAATAGCTACAAAATACTGAACCTTGTTATGATCTTAGTAGAAATAATGAACACAAAACTGGTTATATTAGTGATAGAAGTGATGTCAGCAAATAAATATAGTGACACAAACCTAAGGAAAAGCTTGGTACATGATAAAGTTACAATAAACAACACCAAAAAGCCGAGTACAATTTTATTCCAATCACTGCATAGAGGTTTTACTCTTCCCTTGACTTTATGGAACAAAATACACTAATTCTGTAGCACTATAATAATTGCATAACAAGGTTCTAATAACCAGATTAACTTCCTAAAAAGTTAATGACCAACTTGCAAATGAGAACCTAATATGGGGATTCATTAGCTGCCAGGAAATAGCTGCTTTTGCTACTTTGAAATGTTTATTTTATAAATATGCATTAGAAAACAACCCCCAAAATAATTCAAAGTAATGCAAAATGTAATCAACTAGGTGAACTATGTCAGCCAGAATCACAAAAAGACACAGGAGAGAACTTATCTGGGTGAGATCTAATAGAGAAGTACGTGTCTGATAATTAAATGGTTTTGGGAGTGAAGAGCCTGAGGAACCTCTGTGCCTGCTCTGGAATCCTATCTCAGTGCTTAAGAACAAGGGCTTTACAAACAATTCAGGGAGAAGACTGAGCAGGAACCAGCAGAGCAAACCCCTACTATTCAAAAAACTTACTTTAATAAACCTGGTGCTTCATTCATAAATATGAAAAGTCAATCAGACAGTTGAGAAAACACTGACATAAAAAAGAGAAGAATCAAGAAAAACAAATGGAGAAAATGACCCTAAAAGAAAATGACCCAAGGAAATAAAGGAAAGTCTTTATTTAGGGGCGCCTGGGTGGCTCAGTCGTTAAGCGTCTGCCTTCGGCTCAGGTCATGATCCCAGGGTCCTGGGACTGTAGGGAGCCTGCTTCTCCCTCTCCCACTCCCCCTGCTTGTGTTCCCTCTCTCGCTGCCTCTCTGTCAAAAAAATAAATAAAATCCTTAAAAAAAAAAAAAAAGGAAATTAAAAAAAAATCTTTATTTAAAAAAAGAATACTAATTCAAAGGGATACATGCATCCCAATGTTTATAGCAGCATTATCTATACTAGTCAAATTATGGAAACAGTCCAAGTGTCCACTGATTGATGAATGGATAAAGAAGACGTATATATACACAATGGGATATTACTCAGCCATAAAAAAGAATAAAATCTCGCCATATCCAAGGACATGGATGGAACTAGAGATTATCCTAAGTGAAGTAAGTCAGTCAGAGAAAAACAAATACCGTATGATTTCACTCATATGTGGAATTTAATAAATGAAACAAATGAACATAAGGGAAAAGAGAGAGAAATCAAGAAACATTAATTATGGAGAACAAACTCATGGTTACCAGAGGGGAGGGGTGGGGGGATGGGTTAAATTTGTGATGGGGATTAAGGAGTGCACTTGTCTTGATGAACACTGTGTGATGTAGGAAATTGTTGAATCACTACACTGTACACCTGAAATTGATATAACACTGTATGTTAACTATACTGGAATAATTTTTTTTTAATTTTTAAAAATTAAAAAAAAAAAAGCTTCCTACTCTAACCCCAAGGGGAGACAGTGCTTTAAGAGCTATCTCCCTCTTTGGGGTGCCTGGGTGGTACAGTCAGTGAAGTGTCTGACTCGTGGTTTCAGCTCAGGTTGTGATCTTAGGTCGTGGGATCGAGCCCCGTGTGGCGCTCTGTGCTCAGTGAGGAGTCTGCTTGAGATTCTCTCTTGGCCTCGCTCCATCCCTACCCACCCCCCCCACTCTCAAATAAATAAATCTTTAAAAAAATGGGGTGCCTGGGTGGCTCAGTCAGTTAAGCGCCTGCCTTCGGGTCAGGTCATGATTCCAGGGTCCTGGGATCGAGCCCCTGTTGGGCTCCCTGCTCAGCTGGGAGTCTGCTTCTCCCTCTGCCTCTGCTGCTGCTCCCCTTGCTTGTGCTCTCTCTCTCTAATAAATAAATAAAACCTAAAAAAAAAAGTTATCTCCCTCCTTATTTGTAACAATAAAAGTTCTTTGCTTAAAAATTAATTAAATTAGAACAAGTAGATAAAGCTAACAATAAAGCTGAAGAAATCAGAATATAGAAAAAGAAAGTCAAGGAGATGGAAAATATGAGCCATGAATTCAACATGTAACAGGAGACTGAATCAGAGTTCCAGAAAGAACGGGGAAAACAGAAATAAGGAAATATAGAATAGAAAAAATGTCCTAGAAGTAAAGGCAGACTTGAGGTTTCATTTTGAAATGGATAATCAAATGTCAAAAATAATGAATGAAAAAAAAGAACCACAATAGACATATTGCCATATATGTCCAGAACACCAAGGACAAAGATCCTAAATCTTTTGGAAAGAAAGAAAATGTTATTTACAAAAATATCTCATCAACCAAACTGGTTGCTAAAAGATGAAAGCAGAATGCCTTCAAAGTCCTGTCGAAATTATGGGGCGCCCGGGTGGCTAGGTCAGTTAAGTGTCTGCCTTCGGCTCAGGTCGTGATCTCAGGGTCCTAAGACTGAGCCCCGCGTCGGGCTCCACACTCAGTGGGGGTCTGCTTCTCGCTCTCCCTCCCCTTCTGCCCCTGCCCCACTCGGTGCTCTCTCTCTCTCATATTCTCTCAAGTAAATAAATCTTCAAAGTCCTGGAGAAATTAATTCTGATCCTAGAATTCTACACTAAGCCAAAGTCTCAAGTGTACCAGCATTATAAAGACATTCTTAGAGTATAGCTTCCTTCCTACATAACCTTATTTAAAAAGGTACTTGAGGATTTACTCCAGGGAAAAAGTGGGGGGAGGGGGGATTTCAAGAATACTGATGACACTGGATCCAAAAAACAGATCTAACCCAGAAGTACAAAGAAAAGAAATTCCCAGATGATTGCTCTGAGAAGGTCTACAAAAAAAATTAGTTGATTAGAACATAAAATCAGCGGACTCTGGAAAGGATTTTGTAAAGTAGATTTTATTAAACAGATAATACGGCTGATTAATAAGCTAAAACATGTTAAGTGATAAGGGTAAGAAAAAAGGCATTTGTTTCGCCAGAGAGAAGGGAAATACAAACCAGCCCCCCGCCGAGGGCCACCGGCCCGGGACTAACCCTCCACGCCGCGGCCCCGCTGACCACGACGCGCGCAGCCGGCCGCACGCCTCCCGGGACCAATTCCCACACCGCCCAGTGCGCGACACGACCACGGCGGGAAGGAGGCTGGGACGCCGGCAACCGCGCACCCCGGGCCCAAGGGCGACCCCCGGACCGGCCCCACGTGCCGCCCGCTGGCACTCACCTTCCCGGGCTCCATCGCAACTCGCAGGCCCGGACCTCCCGGCCAGCGTCCCCGGCTCCTAGCAACTGGCCGGCGCGAGCGGCTGAGCGCCGAACGACCGCTGTCCCGCCATGCCGTGCGGCTGCCCCCGGCGCTTCTTGCCTCTCCCAGCTCCTAGCAATTGGCAGGCATGAGCAGAAGAGCGCCGAGCCACCGCTGTCCCAGAATACCCCGCGGCCGTCCCCAGCGCGCCTGCGCGTCCCTGGCTCCTAGCAACCCACAGGCAGAAGCAACAGAGGGCCGAGCCATTGCTGGCCCGGGTAACCAATCCCCCAATACCCACAACGCACCACCGTCACCGCCACTCGGTGGGGCGGAAAGGGACGCAGCGCGGTCCGGATCTCCAGCCCGGTCAGCATTCGGTTGGGTGGGGGCGCGGGCCTCGGTGCGGGAACTAAGCTGGGCTGACCCTCCGGCCTGGCTGGGAGGACCGGAGCTGAGAGCGTCACTGGACATCTGGAGCTACGACGAGGAAACTGAGGCATGCCGCTGAGCTGACTGCTGCTTAAGCGGCTAAACTCCAATTCCTGGGTGCCTGGTACCGCCAGGTACTTGGAGGGCGTCATACTCAGGTCCCGAAGCAGCACCAGGAAGCAATTTTACGTCCCACCTCTTCAAAGCAAGAAAATTAAGCACCCCAAAACTCGACTTAGCAAATATACGATGGATTAGGAGAAGAGCTTTCACCTGTATATGGCTTTGCACCTTAAAATTCCTTTTCCCATATATGTCACTGGGTAATACACACCCTGTAAGATACTGGGAATCAAAGTATTTGAAAATGTAATTGTTAAAAGAATGATTTTTTATATGAGACAAGAGACAAGAGTACTGAAACATTAAGACAGATATTCTGCATCTCAGATTTATTTTATCGGAATTATTTTATTTGAAGCTTAATATAAAAGTCGATATTAAATATGCAAGACTGAAGAGCGGTGGTCCTATTCCAGTAATGCACGTTATAACTGATGTTTAGCTATGTTTCCACAAACTGTTTTGCGTTTGTTTAGTATGCAAATGTTACTAAGAAAAGATTCCCCTTAATATTTCATGCACACAAAAAAAGAGCAGACTCAAATCATGTGTTAAGGAGTACATCCGTGAGCATGTTATTAATAGTCTGTGCTTTTGATAGCATGTTTTCCTGGAGATACAAAATTTATTTTGCAGATGTTGTGTTTTTGAATCACACACTATTATGAACCAGTTTACAGTTTTATGGATCTGTCTACTTTGTTCCAGACAAAGGCCATTTACCTAGCTTCTTGCCTTAGAGAAATTAATAGCAGATCCAAAAAGCCTTTTATATTTAATTGTACTCTGGTCCTGGGCATATCACTACTTTCTTTCATTCTCACTCATTAACCCTTTAGGAAGAACATAACAGAAAAGGAAGGTAGGAAAGGCAGTTTCAGTGAGAGCTGTGATATATTGAGGAATTTCTCCAAGTGAGGCACCAAACTCAACTTTCCATTGGGCCATTCACTTAATTCTTGTGGCATCCCTGTGAGGTAGACCTGTTACTGTTTTTCAGATGAGGAGACTGAAGGCCAGAGAGGTTAATTCACTTGCCTAAACTCACAAAACCAGGCTGATGGATGGTCTGATGCCAGAGTCCATGCTTTTAAGCACTGTGTCACTCTTTGTCAACCAAGAAAACGGCTGATTCTGGAAAAGCTTCAAACTCTGTTGAATATGAGGAGAAAGTCATGCATACCGCGTGACCAACCTGGGTCTCAAGCGCCACCAGACTCCTTTCAACATAATCATGTGTTGACTCTGCTTCTCATTTCCACTGCCATCCTTCATCAGCAAACAGCATGACTTCGAGCTCCCCAGATGCACCATATTCACAGGCTTGGTGAATGCTTTCTCCTCTTGCTCGCTATTTCCAGCACAACTGCTGAATAAATGGCTATGGAGGGAGCTAAAACAGCCTTTCTCTCCTCAGACTTCCTAAAACAACCATTTTCTAAATAACTCCTTTGATGAGCGGTTCCATTTTGTCTTGTAATATTTCTTTTATTGTGTTCATTCATTTAGTAGATGCCTTCCTAAGTTCATTTGATGACCTGGGAAGTGACAGAGGGCTAGAGATAGAAAGCTACATTAACACTCTCTGGACCTCTAGTAGCTCATGATCGCTAGGACAGAGAAACAGGCAAACAGCTGCTAAATAATGTGAACCTGTGAGAGCGGTGAGTGAGGAGGTGACAGATGGCTGTCTGGAAGAAGGAACTGAGGTTGGGAAGGACACATAATTTCCCAGACAGAGAGGCTGGGAAAGAACATCTTGGGTCCAAGCCCCGAGAGGAGGCTTTGGAGGGTTCCAGGAAATATGATTGTCCCTGGAACTGTGCTGTAGAAGAAAGCATATAGAAATATAATCCAAGCCACATCATTATAAATTATGTAGTAGCCACACTTTAAAAAGTACAAAGAAACAGATGAAATCAAATTTAATAATGTATTTAGCAGGGCGCCTGGGTGGCTCGGTCGTTGGGCATCTGCCTTTGGCTCGGGTCATGATCCCGGGGTCCTGGGATCGAGCCCCACATCGGGCTCCCTGTTTGGCGAGAGGCCTACTTCTCCCTCTCCCACTCCCCCTGCTTGTGTTCCCTCTCTCGCTGTGTCTCTCTCTGTCAAATAAATAAATAAGGTCTTTAAAAAAAATAATAATGTATTTAGCCACATACATAATGTTATCATTTTATCATATAATGTATATTTAAAATGTTGAGTTATTTTACATTTTTCTTACACTGTCTTCAAAATCCAGTGTGTGTTTTATATTTACAGCACACCTCAGTTCAGACTGGCCACATTTCACGTGCTCAAAGCCCCATGTGGCAAGTGGCCTCTGTGTGGAGCCGAGCAGGTGTCCAGCACAGAGTATGTGAGTGGAGGTGGCAGGGGGCACATGCACTGGCATGAGATGGTCAGAGAGGAGGCTGGAAAGGGGGGCACGGCCAGTTGGTGAAGGACCTCGAAATGGCATGATGCAAAGATTTAAAGCATTGTTGGGCAATGCTAAGTTGTTAAAATGGGAAGAGAATGCTGTGTTTGCAGACTGAAGGACAGGTAGGTTGGAGACAAGTGGGAGCCAACAGTGGGGGCTTCGTGGGGCTTTGCAGCCATTGTGCAGCCTGTTCCTCTGCCCCTTCCCCAAGCTAGCTTTGCTCTAGACCCCCGGAGACTTAGCTGCAACATGTCTGCACAGACCCTCCCCTGCTCACATCATTTGGTCCCACTGGTTTGTTAAAGTTCTCCTATGTCCTCTTTTCTAGAATTTAAACATGTCTCCATCTCCCTCACTGGACTGTAAACCAGCTTATAATTAGAGGTTATGATAAAAACAGAACCTTTTTTCACAGTAATAAGCAAATTTGTCACAAAAGTCAAGAACTTTCCTTTCCTAGCCTCTTTGGTTTCCGAGGTCAGGTAAATTTGGTGTCCCTCTAATGCCTGAGTACATGGATATGATAGAAAACCTACCTGTGGGTTTAACGAACTAACGTGCTAGTGAGGAGTCAGATCAGCCTCTCACTGGCTGTGTGAACGTAGGAAGTTTGTTTTACTACCTTGTGCTTCAGTTAGCTCTTCAGTAAAATGGGAATTATAAGGTACCTATTCTGTAGAGCAGTCATGAGGATTACATGAGTAATTATGTGAAGTACCCAGAACAGCGCCTATCACAAACTAAGCACACAGTAAGTTATTAACAAGTTTATTACTGTTATTATAGGTTAGCACCCAAGTTATAAACATCTAGGACAGATGAAAATAGGTGGGATACCAAAATTAGAGCCTGCCTTTATCAATTTATAAATTATCTGCTACTGTATGAAACCATAACTGGAGCACTTCCATCGGTGAGGAGATTGCGGTAGGCAGAACTCTGGCCCTAACAGTCCTGCCCCTGGCATCTACTCTCTTGTTGAACACTCTCTCCTTGAGTGTGAGCAAAATCTGTGAATGTGATGGGATCTACTCCCGTGGTCAGGTTACTGAGGAGTTGACTAAATTGGTCAAAAGGGAGATAATCCTGGTTGGGCCTGACTTTCCAAGGAAGGTGATACATCTGAGAGACAATCCTGTCCTGGAAGAAGAAGAAGCAAACTGCCATGCCAGGAGGAGACGAAGGAGGAGGCACATGGAAGGAACAGAGGGTGACCCCTGGCTGTCAGCCAGCAGAAATTAGGGACTTAAGCCCTACAGCTGCAGTGAACTGAACTCTGCCAACACCCTGAATGAACCTGGGAGGGGATCTCAGATGAAGGTCTCCAGAGGAGACCACAGCTCAGGCAACAAGCCAACACTTGGTTTCACCTAATGAGACCTGAGCAGAGGACTTAATGAAGCCATGCAAATATCATCTTCAATAACGATAAAAACTGGAATGGGGCTTGTGACTTGATAGATGGCTTCAGCTGGGTGCTCTAACATGTCCCACCTAATTCAGACTCCCCTCCCCAAGAACATCAGGGCTCCCCCTCACATGCACAGAGCTGCCTCTGGGGCTCCTGAGGGCTGAGCTGTATTCAGCAGATAAGTGTAGTCATGGAGATAAGCATAAGGTATAGACAGGATTAACTTGAGGAAGGAAATATCACAAAAGGCTTCGCAGAAGTGCAGATATACAAATTGCTTTTGAAAGATGAATAGGAGGGACGCCTGGGTGGCTCAGTCGTTAAGCGTCTGCCTTCGGCTCGGGTCATGGTCCCAGGGTCCTGGGATCGAGCCCCGCATCGGGCTCCCTGCTCAGCAGGAAGCCTGCTTCTCCCTCTCCCGCTCCCCCTGCTTGTGTTCCCTCTCTTGCTGTGTCTCTCTCTGTCAAATAAATAAATAATCTTAAAAAAAAAAAAAGATGAATAGGAGTTTTACATAAGGATAGAGGGAGAAGGGTAGTCCAGACACAGAGAACAGCCAGTGAAAAGGCACAGACAGGTAACGGCAGGGTTTGGGAGGGATGAGCAGCAGAGCGGACCCTAGATCGGGAGGTGAGGCGAGAGGTAGGATCAAATGTGGACAAGCTCTGTGTGTCATGCAGAGGAGCTGTAACTTCACATTAGAAGCAAAGGATATATAAACAGGGAAGAGATTCAATCAAATCTGCATTTTGAATTCGCCATTTGATAGAAATATGGACTTTTAAAAATGATTTTTGGATTAATTTCAAACTTAGAGAAAATATGCAAGTACAAAGCACCCCGTCTCCATTGCCCAGATTCCCACCATGAACCTCCCAGCACGTTTGCTCCACTTGTCTTGTCATCCAGCATTCATCTGTCTACACGTACACTTACCCATTATCGTTAGACTTGTTCTGAGTCATTTGACAAAGAACTTCAGATAGGATTACTCATCACTCCAAAATACTCCAGTGTTTGTCTTCCCAAAACAAGGACAGACTCTGCTCCACAGCCTCCCAGTCAGGAAGTCAACATGGTTACAGGTCTGCTGTCCGATCCAAAGACCCCCTTGTTCCACCGCTGTCCCAAAAACACTTCTTTTCCCTCACAGCCCAGATCCCACGAGGAACACACGTCGCATGTAGCTGTGTCTCTTCAGTCTCTTGTGATCTGGAATATTTAATTCCTCAGTAAGAACAGAGGGGACCCTACCCTGCAGCAGCCCCCTGAGTCCCTAGGCCATACTCGAGTCAGGCTTTCTCAAGCTCTCTGGCAAAATGCCCCAGGAAGGCTGCTGTACTCCTCTTTCCCTTTGTAATTGATAAGTATCTTGTAGAAAGTATTCCAGTATTATTCCTCATCAAACTTCCACCTACTGCCCTTAGCCTTCATTGATAACTTGCTCTTGCACTACTGTGATGGCTAACCGGTGATTTTCCATTTCTGTGACTCCAGTGATTTATTTTCTGTGCATTCCTCACTCGCTCATTCATCTACATCAGAATGGACTCATGGGTTCCTATTTTACTCCCTGGCTTGTAATCTGCCAGTGTCATCCTTGATTTTGCTGCTCAGCTAGTCCCAGATTTAATCAGCAAGAGCCCTTCAAGTTGCCTCCCATGTCCTTTGACAGCACATGATTCTTTGAGCATTTTCCTACCTCCTGGCACAACAAAATATTCCAGGCTCATCTTGTACTTTCACTGCTCCAGCCCTGAAGTCAACTATTTCTCCAGAGATCTCTGGTTCCTTTTATTGGAAGATGGTATCTAGACGCCAAGATCTGGGAGTTACTTGTGCTTATTCGTATAGGGGTACCATTGTTTCTGGACACTCTGGACACTCTCAGCAGAGAGAAATAGAAAATATGTAAGATAACACGTAGACACACTAATACAGACAATAACTATTTTTGGGTCTCTGTACATATATATCAAAACACATTGAGTTCATACCTCCTCCAAGTCCAGTCCAACACATGAGGGTTCTTTCTGGACTCTCCCTTTCCATGCTTGTAATACCTTCTCCAACAGCAAGAAACCTGGCTTTCATTATCCTCAGTGTATATGTTTATTTGCTAATAGCCTGGGCTGAGGAGTCTGCCTGACACCTCAGGTAGGCCTTTCACTGCCTCCTCCATGGTGGGGGGGGGGGGAGGGGGAGAATGGTCTCTGTGGAACTCTTAAAGGGCGGGACTAAAGAGCTCCCAGTCAAGTAAGAGATTTCTGTCATGATCTGAGCAAGAAAGGACTAAGCCTTTTCTGATTCTTTTGGTTGCATAGCACAGAAACCCACTCAGGTGGCTCAGGTAAAGAATACGGTTGTGTCACCAAAGGAGCATCTTAGAAAAGGTAGGAGTCTTGGTGAGTTTGGGCAGAAAGAGTCCTGGTTAGTAGGATGAAAGGAAGAGAGGCAAAGTGTGATCCCATGGTCTGCAACGAAACCTGTGTAGAGCTGATAGGGAAGGGGCTGGAACAGGAAGGGGTAGAAGAGCTGGACGGGATAGTGATAAGGCCCAGGCTTAGGCGAGAGGAGACGTGAAACAAAGCAGAAAACATTCAAGTGAAACAGAACGCAGCTCTTTTCTCTGAAACTTTATAGTTTTTTACTAGATCACTCACAATGATGTTCTTTCCTCTGAAAGCAGTGCCTTTCATTGAATAAATGTCGGCACAAAAGGTAAGGAAGGAGGTAACATGAAGAGCTTGCAGGAGACTGAGGGGTTTAAAAAAACACTAGCAAAAACCTAAGAACCAAGCTGGGCCTGTTATTAGGCTCTGTACAGAATGAGATGTGTTCGGCCTTGCTGGTATAATTAAGTACAGGGAAGCGGCCAGAAGTTCTAGGGGTCATGAAGGCAGCTGAGACTGGGAGGCTGATTGGTGCGCAACATGGACACTTCAGTGTACTTTACATCGCTAGGCTGCTCAGGTCAAACACTCTATTGCAGATGTGCAAGATTTTTTATGTGGCTGGTGTTCATTCAGATCTTTATAGAACGTGATTCTATAGCTCTTTAGAGGAAAACCCACAGAACAGAAAGGCTCATGCCCCTTCCTGTGTTAACAAGGTAATTGTCTTGAGTTTGTAACTAGTCTTAAGACTTGCCATTAGAACATTTAGCTGTTGCGGAGGAAAAGGTTTGAGACTTGCCATTTAATATATTTACAACTTAATGTAATATGGTGAAGAGCAAGAAAAGGGGGGGGGGCGCCTGGGTGGCTCAGTGGTTAAGCATCTGCCTTCTGCTAGGCTCATGATCCCAGGGTCCTGGGATGGAGCCCCGCATCAGGCTCCTTGCTCAGCGGGAAGCTTGCTTTTCCCTCCCCCACCCCCTCTCTGGTTGTGTTCCCTCTCTCACTGTCTCTCTCTGTCAAAAAAAAAAAAGAGCAAGAAAAGGAAAACCTCTTCCCTTGCTTGAGGTTTAGTGTCCTTGCCCAAAGTTGAGCGTTCTAGACCCTAGAGCAATGTTTCTGATATGAGATATATTTCTATATCTCCATGGCCACACACACATATATGCATAAATAATTACGTACAGACCTGAACACAAGGGAGGAAGGGAGGTATTGTTTATTCATTCAGGGGCTAGCCTGGAGATATGATGGTAAACAAAAAATACGGTTGTTGCCCTCATGGAACTTAAAGCCTAGCTGAACCATTAATGAGACGTTGGCAATGCCAACAATGCATGCCAAAGCTTCCCCCACCCAAAAAGCTCCTGCTAGCATCAAGTCTTTGATCATCTGTTTTGCTAATAGTGCTGTGATGGCAGTTTGGTCTGCAGTTGGCAGTCTTCTTCACCTCACCGGCTTTTACTCCGCACAGAAAAGCAGTCTGTGGAGTGTCACTGTTTTGTCCCGAAGACACCAGGCTTTGTCCCTGCAGCTATCACAGTTATTAAGTTGTTATTCCAGGATCCCTGCAATACGGCAGGGAAGCACTCGTGTGACACGAGGTGCACACGCCAATCAAGAGCTTAAAAACACTGAGTGTGCGCTAAGTCCCTGCCCTTCCTAAAGATGATCAAGGTGTCCAGTAACAAAGATTTGAAGAGTAAGAAGGGGAAAACTAGCTCTATTGTTATACACTGAATTAAAGTTTCCTTGGAAGCTTAACTGGGAATTAGCCTGATTGAGTTTACTGGAAAATAAGGTAGTCACGGGGTGTGACGTCTTCTCAGAAGTCGCAAGCAGGGTCTGAGCTCGGAAGCAGGGAGCCGGCCGGGACTAACAGCTTTCCAAGAAGCTGCGCAACATCCTCTTAGAAGTGCAGGTGGGGGGTTCGCGCGGAGGTGCTTCACGTTCCGCACGCGGGAAGCACGCCGACCCCGCTGTTTTTCCCGCCTCGGGAACAGCTGAGCGACTCCAGAAAGCGTCCTGCTCTGTGGCCTGACCGGCACCACCAGAGCAGCGACTTGTTTGCTTCATAGCGCCGCACCGCCCGAACCACTCAGGAGTGCGTATGGTTTCTTAACATCTTAGAAGTCATCAAACCGGAATTGCTTAAAAGTGGGCAGTTGTAACACCCACGCTGCAACGTGCACTTCCAGTCCCACACGAGCCTCCCGGGAAACATACCCCCGCCCCCAACAGGCAGCGGCCGCGCGGGGGGAAGCCGGAGCCCGCCGCGCGCGGTGACGTCACCTGCCCCCGCCTCAGAAGGCGGCCTACCCGCCCCTGCGGAAGCGTAGGGAAGTCAGGCCCGCTCACGCAGCGAAGGTACGTGCTCTAGACGCAGGGCCGCGCCCCGCCCCGCCTGCCCCACGTGACGACGCGCTGGGCCGCCTTAGCGGCGCCGCGCACGCGGTCTTCCACGTCGGCCCCACCCACCCCGCCTCCGAAGGCGCCGCCCGCCCCGGCGATGAGGTAGCAGTCCGGCCCCGCCCGCCCACCGTGAATACGTGGCTCGGGTCCAGGGCCGCGCCGGGCCGCCTGAGTGGCGCCCCACCCCGCGCGATGACGTTCACGCCGATCCCGCGCTTACTCCCGCCTCCAGTGGTGTCCGCACGATGGCGTCACCCATCTAGCCCCCCCCCCCCCACCCTCAGTTTGTTTCTCAGAGTCCATAGTCTCTCATGGTTCGTCCCCCCCCCCCCCCCCCCCCCGTCGTGAACCAGGCCCAGGGCCGCGCCCGGCCTCCGCCCCGCCCACCCTGCGTGCTGACGTCGCACGGCGCCCGCGACCAAGCGCGGGCGGGCCCTAGCGCCGGCGCCGTCCCCTCAGAGGGGCGCTGGTGCGCGGGCTGAGCTTTCGCGGTCGGGCTGGGACGCGAACGCTGCGCGATGAGCGGCGCGGAGGACCGTGGCCCCGGGGCCGGCGCTGCCCCCGCCGAGCCCCCGGGCGCGGTGCTGAGCGTGGATGTAGCGGGGCTGCTGGCGCAACTGGCGCGCAGCTTCGCGCTGCTGCTGCCGGTGTACGCCCTCGGCTACCTGGGCCTGAGCTTCAGCTGGGTGCTGCTGGCGCTCGGGCTGCTCGTGTGGTGCCGGAGGAGCCGCGGCCTCAAGGCGACCCGCCTGTGTCGCGCACTGGCGCTGCTGGAGGACGAGGAGCGCGCCGTGCGCCTGGGGGTGCGCGCCTGCGACCTGCCGGCCTGGGTGAGTGCGGGCTCCTCGCCCGGGCCGGGGGCCGACCAGGACCCCCGCCCCCACCCCGCCCGGGCCCGTAGTCCGCCCTGCCGTCAGTTTCCGCGGGCACCGTGCGGGGTGTCCTGAGCGCCGCCGGGCTCCCCGCCCCCTCACCTGTCAGGTGTCCCCGCGGCTGGGGCCGCGCCCGTCCCCCTGTCCCGGTCCGCAGACTCCCCCACACCCTCCCCGGGAACGGCGCCTTCCCTGCCCCCGCCGCAGGCCCGCGCGGAACCGCACAGGTGAGAGGCGCGCTGCGCGCTGTGGCTTCGGCCCCGCCGCCCGAGCCGGGGCTTTTCCCCTGGGCGCGCTGGCCGTGACTCGCGCCTCTGGAATGTGCTCTGGGAGGCGGCGGCGGTCTCTGCTCGCAGCGCCGGAGCCGCCCGGTGCCGCCGCCCCTGCCCAGGCCTGGAGACCGTCGGCGCTCGCTCGGCTTCCCGGGGAAAGGGAGCGGGCGGGCTTTCCCTCTGACAGCCGGTGGGGGGAGAAGTTAGAGCTGCGCCCTCCGCAGACGCTGTCATCTCTGCGTTGTGTGTGGAACCACTGAGCAAGGAGGGTCCCCCAGAAGGCCCGATGGCAACGTCCGTATAGGGTGAACTCGATTCCAATGTGGATTTGGAGAGGGTCGGAACTTTTTTAGAAGAGTTGCACGGACAGCAGGAGTCATGATATCGATTATTTTATTTTTACCCCAGGCAGTTGTCTGCATAACTCATTTCTGCAGCGAGGAAATGAATGCAGTTGCTTTCCTCCTCTTTTTCGGCTCAGTCCCTAATTCTTTCTTAACCAGGAGTTGCTGTCACAGCTTCAGATTACAGGAAATAGTGCTCATTTTAACATAAATGATGTTCCCGTTAGGCTTGCTGTAAACGTGGTGTGAAAATGGCCAGCCAGTGAGCTTCTCCAGGGTCATCTTCTCTTAGAGGAGAAAAGGGCTTGGAGAGTGATCGCAGTTTCCAGTCATAAGACACTTGTGAAGTCAGGCGTGGGGTGTAGGACACAGGAGGCAAACAGAGGTTGGGACGCGGGGGTACCCAAGGCCAACAGGAACCTAATGGTACTGCCTTGTGATGGCAAATACCCGTCTGTTACTTTCGTAACAAAAACAGTGAATCACTCTGTCTAGAAGTGTGCGTACAACAGTAGAAGCAGACTTGTGGAGGAAGAGTTAGGATTTCTGTATTAGTAGTACTTGGACTTCTGTACAGACTGGTTTTGGGAGTTCTGAACTTTGGGGTGGTATCTTGCTGTGAATAAGGTAGATTTTGTACATGGTTTCACGATGTGTCATTGACAGCTATGATTCATCGCAGGGTGGAAGCATAGGAAAACATGAACCAATGTGGTACTCACTTCCTAACCCCGCTTGTGGATATGTTCCTGACAGTTACTAATAACAATTTATACTGGGTATGGAAAACGAGATAATATTACTACGTTCAGAAAAAATATATATCGTTTTGAATTAAGGCTACTAGGATATGAAAAATGATTCTCACTTAACCATGTGATAGTTTCATAAGAACTTGGTCCTGTAGCTTTTATGTAAACCATATTATTATCCATTCTTCACTCTTTTTTTCCCATAAACAGGGAAAAGGCCTGACAGGTTTGGGTTGATGGATTGAGGACTGGCCTTTTGTCGTACCAGTGTCTCTCTACCCTGTGTTAATTGGGCCCTGTAAAATTAGACCGTGGGTGAAGGAATATTCTTGATGAGTTTTTATAGAAATGAACAAGGACAATTTTCCACTGCTATTTTTATTTATTTGAAATATTAGAAGTTGGTATGGTGAAGTCTGCCCCTTTCCTGTCTTTGCGACTGCCAATAAATGCTGATTCTATGGCTGCAAGTAAGTAGAGACCCAAATCTGTCATATACAGCACTTCATAACTGTTTTGACAGTTGGTCTTTTATTACTCTCATACTTTGATGATTAAGATTTGAAGCAGTCAGCTTCCTTATGAGGCTGTTCTGTATTTGTATGTACAAGCTTTTCTTCAGGGAGAGTGTTCTTCCCATAGTTCTTCTGGGAAGTCCAGAAGATTTTATCTCTAGCCAAAATTGAATATGTATAGGTGGAGAACCAAATGAACAAGAGAGAAGAATACACTTCGGTCTCATGTGAAGGAAGGGCAAATACTTGTTTTTAATTCTTAGTGTTAATCATTGAGTTACACTTCAAAACTTGGTGTAGACTTGTAACAAAATAGTTCGTGTAGCTAAATCAGGAACCACGGTTTAGTTATTTTAAACTGTGGTTGCAACTTTAGGGCTTAGATCCTAGAGGGATTATGTGCTTTGAGATGTTCAGAGACCTCCTCAGGGGTGTGAAGGGGAGGTGGATGCTGCTTTGGTTTTTTATATACCAGCGCTGCTGCTGCTGCTGCTGCTGTAATTCAAAGAGGAAGAGGGCTGTAAACGTTGCATTGCTGAGTTACATAGTCTAAATGCTTCGTCATAAAGCATCATGTCTTTTAGTTTAAACTCAGTGGATTTAGAGTTAGGATGTATGCATTCATCAACTTGTATACTCTGGTTTTAATAATACTTCTGTTTTAGATTAATGTTCGTCTCACTTCACGTTTTAAGACAGGAGAGTATAGAGTTAGGACTGAACTATAAATAAATATATGAATTAGAAATATATTAAATTAATGTTATAGTAAATATAATTTATATAATATAGCTTTTGATCCTGCGAAGAACCAATTATGAAAAACTGACTGGTAATGAAGTGTTCTTGTTAGGCCTAGTGAATCTTTCATCTTTTCTGTAGGTTTTCATGATCTCTACATTGGTCACAACATTTAACTTAGAATAATATCACAGACATTGTGAGTATGCTAAAAACCATTGAATTGTACATTTTAAATGAGCAAACTATGGTATGCGCATTAAATCTCAATGGTGCTATTTAAAAGTATTATGGACATTGAATTTCTTTTAAAAATAAATGAAAAGGGTAGTTACATAGGAAACCTTAAATATGTCCTTGCTTATGGAATTCCAGCTAAAACTGTTAAAACTTTTAATTTTATTAAGCTTTTTATTTTAATTCTAGTATGGTTAATATACAGTGTTATTCAGTGTACAACATAGTATAATACTGCTACAACTTTTAAAAATTATTGTTCCAGCTTAAATTTTAAGGTATTTATGTTTTAGGGAATATTTAATGAAAAGTGTGGGCTTATGAATGAAAACTAGCAAGATAAATATTTTTACCTTAATCCTAATGTTACTGTAAACATTGATAACATAATGGCTAGCCAGATTCTAATAAATGAGAGAGAAATCACGCTTCAAAGATGCAAACAGCTTACATGTGTATTTTTCTGTGAGTTATTAGAAACTCTTTCCTTTGATTCAAGGTATTGACACATATTTATGTATGTTTAAGAAATTTAGGGTATACATTGGTTTGTTTTATATTAGATTCATTTTATCATAGCATGATTTTTTAATGTATTGTTGTGGTCTTTTTTTATGTTTTTTCTAATCTTAAATTCAGTAAACATATAGTATATCATTAGTTTCAGATTCTTATGGTCTTTTGCATTTTATTATGTTTTGTTGAGTCATCTGTTTTGGTTTCCATGACACAGTGCTGCCTCAGATGAATTTTCTTTCTTAGAATTTAAAGATCTGAGGAGCTACTATATGCAGAAGTAGAAGAGGTCATCCTGCCTTCATGTGTGTGCCCTCTTTCAGGTAGATCTAAGGCAGGATGTGATGGCCCCAGTGCCATGGTGGTCAGAACAGAGGATGGGAGGTGGTTAGTGGAGAGGGGATGCATATAGACACGTTTATGGACTTTAAGAATAGAAGGACATGGCCTTATACTCTATGGGGACAGTAGGATAAACATGCAGGAGCAGGAAATCAGGCATATCCTGTGGTGGGACCATCATAGCCCACCTGGACTGTCTCCATCAGAGGGGAGCTGTATGGAAGGTGATGAATTGAGTCTCAGGGGTGAGGAGTAGATGTACTCCATCCAGCTAGGGCCCAAGTTCTCAGGGCAGCTCTCCCAATTCACAGGGATCCTGTACTGAGCATAAATATAAATACTACTCTTAAGACTCACAGTGTTTTGGCATGGGAGGAAGGGGAGATAGTGATGGATTCAGAATTAAACTTCTGAAATCAGAAAGTGGAAGCGCCTGTGCAATGGAGTAGAGTTCTTCCTTCAGCTGCCAAAAAAACAAGCCAAGATTATTGCCGGATTGTTGCTTTGTACGGTGGAGGTAGCTGGAAGTACCCGCCCACCTTCCCTCAAATAGACCATTCTCTTTCACTCTTAATAATCTTTTTGTGCTTAAATACTGAGTCACCTTGTGTTCTTTTGGAGTTGGGTGGGGCACGGTTCTTACATAAATAGTATCAGTGGTTTCTTTTGTGTGGAGCCATTTTTCCATTAAACATGTTTTATTTGAGAGTTTTCTTGCCATCTTTCTCTGTGTCACTGACTTTTCTTCATGTATTTTTCTTAACTGTCACAAAAGTCCCTACTTTTTTTTTAAGGAAATCATTTATTTTTTGAATTTTTCCTAGAGTAGATCACATTTTAAGAAAGTAGCTCGACTGACATGTAGGGATTAGAAATGAGCCTTTATGGATTCATCTATTTACTCAACCCACATTTATTAGCATTTGCTATGTTTCAGGTCTCCTGCCAGGTGCTAGAGATGAAGGTGTATAAGATAAGGCCTTAAAAACTTAAGAATTTACCAGCTGAGGGGCGCCTGGGTGGCTCAGTCATTAAGCGTCTGCCTTTGGCTCAGGTCATGATCCCAGGGTCCTGGGATTGAGCCCAACTCTTGGGCCCCCTGCTCAGCGGGAAGCCTGCTTCTCCCTCTCCCACTCCGCCTGCGGTGTTGCGTCTCTTGCTGTCTCTCTCTCTGTCAAAAAAAAAAAAAAAAAAATTCATACTTCCAAACCACCCATAATAGTAGTTGGTGAAAAATTA